ACCGGTGCGCTTGGCACCTACAACCATACCCCGTGAGTACCCCAAAGTAATTTAAATGTTTGGTCTTGCCATCTGAATGGTATACACACATACAATCCATGTCTCAATTGTCTCAAGGCTTAAAAATCCTTCTTTAACCTGTCTCTTCCCCTTCATCTACACTGATTGAAGTGGATTTAACAAGTGACATCAATAAGGGATCATAGCTTCAAAACTTCTGTCCTCGGCTGCCACATTCACTACCGAGTTCCAAACTGCCTCTGGAAGCAATGTCAGCATAAGAACTGTTCGTTGGGAGCTTCATGAAATGGGTTTCCATGGCTGAGCAGCCGCACACAAGCCTAAGATCACCTTGCACAATGCAAAGCGTCGGCTGGAGTGGTGTAAAGCTCGCAGCCATTGGACTCTGGAGCAGTGGAAACGCCATCAGGCAGTCCGACGGACGAATCTGGGTTTGGCGGATGCAAGGAGAACGCTACCTGCCCCAATACATAGTGCCAACTGTAACGTTTGGAGGAGGAGGAATATTGGTCTGGGGCTGTTTTTCATGGTTCGGGCCATCCCCCTTAGTTCAAGTAAAGGAAAATCTTAATGCTACAGCATACAATGACATTCTAGGCAATTCTGTGCTTCCAACTTTGTCGGAACAGTTTGGGGAAGGCCCTTTACTGTTTCAGCATGACAATGCCCCGTGCAAAAAGCGAGGTCCATACAGAAATGGTTTGTCGAGATTGGTGTGGAAGAGCTTGACTGGTCTGCACAGAGCCCTGACCTCAACCCCATCGAACACCTTTGCGAGGAATTAGAACGCTGACCGCGAACCAGGCCTAATCGCCCAACATCAGTGGCTGACCTCACTAATGCTCTTGTGGCTGAATAGAAGCAAGTCCCCGCAGCAATGTTCCAACATCTAGTGGAAAGCATTCCCAGAAGAGTGGAGACTGTTATAGCAGCAAAGGGGGGACCAACTCCATATGAATGCCCATGATTTTGGAATGAGATGTTCGAAGAGCAGGTGTCCACCTACTTTTGGTAATGTAGTGTGTATATATATATACTACTGGTCAAAAGTTTTAGAACACCTATTCATTTTTTTTAGAAGTTTTAGAACACCTACTCACCTAATACTTTATTTTTACTCTTTTCTACATTGTAGAATAATACAATCTGGATAAGAGCGTCTGCTAAATGACGTAAATGTAAATGTAAAACTATGAAATAACACATGGAATCATGTAATAACCAACAAAGTGTTAAACAAACTATTTGAAATTCTTCAAATAGCCACCCTTTGCTTTGATGACAGCTTTGCACACTCTTGGCCATCTCTCAACCAGCTTCATGAGGTAGTCACCTGGAATGCATTTAAATTAACAGGTGTGCCTTCTTAAAAGTGAATTTGTGGAATTTCTTTCCTTCTTAATGCGTTTGAGCCAATCAGTTGTGTTGTGACAAGGTAGGGGGGTATACAGAAGATAGCCCTATTTGGTAAAAGACAAGTCCATATTATGGCAAGAACAGTTCAAATAAGCAAAGAGAAAAGACAGTCATTTATGAAATGAAGGTCAGTCAATACGGAACATTTCAAGAAGTTTCTTTAACAGCAGTCGCAAAAACCATCAAGCGCTATGATGAAATTGGCTCTCATGAGGACCACCACAGGAATTGAAGACCCAGAGTTACCTCTGCTGCAGACGATAAGTTCATTAGAGTTACCAGCCTCAGAAATTGCAGCCCAAATAAATACTTCACAGAGTTCAAGTAACAGACACATCTCAACATCAACTGTTAAGAGGAGACTGTGTGAATCAAGCCTTCATGGTCGAATTTCTGCAAAGAAACCACTACTAAAGGACACCAATAAGAAGAAACCTGCTTGGGCCAAGAAACACAAGAAATTTACATTAGACCGGTGGAAATGTGTCCTTTGGTCTGGAGTCCAAATTGGAGATTATTGGTTCCAACCGCCGTGTCTTTGTGAGACGCGGTGTGGGTGAATGGATTATCTCTCCATGTATATTTTCATGGAGGAGGAGGTGTTATGGTGTGGGGGTGCTTTGCTGGTGACACTGTCTGTGATTTATTTAGAATTCAAGGCACACTTAACCAGCATGGCTACCACAGCATTCTGCAGCGATACGCCATCCCATCTGGTTTGGGCTTAGTGGGACTATCATTTGTTTTTCAACAGGACAATGACCCAACACACCTCCAGGCTGTGTAAGGGCTATTTTACCAAGAAGGAGAGTGATGGAGTGCTGCATCAGATGACCTGGCCTCCACAATCCCCCGACCTCAACCAAAATTTGATGGTTTGGGATGAGTCAGACCGCAGAGTGAAGGAAAAGCAGTCAACAAGTGCTCAGCATATGTGGGAACTCCTTCAAGACTGTTGGAAAAGCATTCCAGGTGAAGCTGGTTGAGAGAATGCCATGAGTGTGCAAAGCTGTCATCAATGCAAATGGTGGCTACTTTGAAGAATCTCAAATATAAAATATATTTTCATTTGTTTAACACTTTTTTGGTTACTACATTATTCCATGTGTTATTTCATAGTTTTGATGTCTTCACTATTATTCTACAATGTAGAACATTTTACAAATAAAGAAAAACCCTGGAATGAGTAGGTGTGTCCAAACTTTTGACTGGTGCTGTATATACAGTGCATTCGGAAAGTATTCAGACCCCTTGACTTTTTTCACATTTTGTTACGTTACAGCCTTATTCTAAAATTGATTAAATATTATTTTTTTGTGCAGAAATTTCAAAAAAAATGTTTTTGCTTTGTCATTATGGGGTACTGTGTGTAGATTGATGAAGGAGAAGTACAAAACCGCAAGAATAGGCCAGTTCTATGGCTCACTGAATGAAACAAAGTTTCCAAACATATTTGAGTCCACATATGTGTGTGAACAAACGTTCTCAGTCATGATTTACAACAAATCCCATCACAGGTCAAATGTAACAAATTACCACTTGTCAGCTGTTCTGAAAATCTCTACATCAAAGATGATACCAGACTTTGATGCCCTTGCCAAGAGAGGTGACCAGACCCATTGTTCACATTAAGACTCGAATAACCTTGACTGGGTTAGGCAAGGATTATGCTTTTTCATGGTGATGGTTATGCGGTGAGAATTATCCAGCAATGTACTTGGATACAGATTTGGGCTGAGGTGATTGGATAACTGTAAATATGGCTCACAATGGAGATAAGAATTGTTCCTTAATATGCTTTCAAAATAAGACCACTCAAAATGAAATGGATGCCCTTACCATATGTTTTTTTTACACATCTGCTGTTACATTTTGCATGTCTCCAGTCATATAATATATCTATTTTTAAGTTTGCATATTGTGACTGTAAGTTTGATTGTACTTTACAAGGGTAGAGATGCAGTATCTGTGTGTGTGTTTGACTGTGTCTGTGATGTTATAAATTATATCAATTTTGTGAACATTTTGTTAATAGAAAACAAGGGTAGAGATGGTACAAGGGTAGAATTGTTCTGCAGGCATATGTACACCTACAGTACACTAGTAGTTGCGTGTCAATGTGAAAATGAATAAAGGCTTCACATGTTTTGTCACGCATATAGTATGTGGCCCTTCACTTGGTTTCAAAAACTCAATGTGGCCCATGAGCCAAAAGGTGTGCCCACCCTTGCTGTAATGTAACAAAATGTGGAAAAGGGAAGTGGTCTGAATACTTTCTGAATGCACTGTATATGGAGTACACAGTGCAATTAAATGCTTAATTGACAATGCAACAACAATAGAAAAAGTAAGTAGCTAAGTGAATAAAAAGAGTAATACAAATAAAAGCTCAATGAAATAATTTCACCAATTGAATAATGGGCAGTGGTTTACAAGTAGTTACATAGCCTGTATGGAAATAACAGACACGAGTTAAGCATGTTTACCTGCAGAATGGAATAGGTTATAAGACCTCTATGATTCATTTCATTTAGTCAGTTCTACCTCAACATTGCTAATTTTAAACAGGGTTAAATATAATGTTGTAGTAAAGTTCAGCTTCAGTCAGAAGATATGCGCTTCAGTCAGAAAAACATTCTCTCATCTCTTCAGTCTTAGCTAGCTAGCCAGGCAGTAGTTACCGATGTGGATAGCCAGCCAAGCTAGCTACAGAAACGAAACCCATCAAATACAATCGCTGGAATGAAACCCTTTTCCTAATATCATGACTTATATCAACATCCTTAGCTTGCCCATTCACTAAATATACTGTTCAATAACTCTGTCTGACAGCAAACAGCTTAAGGGTGCTGAGTACTAACGCTAGCTTATTATCATTAGCCAACCCTTATGCTGAGGGAGACTAGCTAGTTAGCTACCACTAACCCTGCACAAACCTGTGGCTAACTCTGCTGCCGCTGCTGCACTTTGACTTTCTGGCTGTTCTGCCCTCTCTACCTCATTCACTGCTGCCTCAACCTGCTCGTCTTTTTGCCACTCTTTCGGAAGAAGTTCAGAATATCCATAATTGCTCTGTGCTATGCTGCAGACTGACTGAGTGACAGGCATTTTGCTGATTGATGACAATGACATCTAACCGGTGCTGTAGGGCTGGGGGAGGGGTCAAGGGGCCTGAGAGGTCCACTGTGTAAAATTGGTCAGTAAAACGTTGTATTTTATACTGGATAGGACAAGTGATGTGTGTGTGTGTTGTTGTTGTTTTTTTTACCACCAAAATGTTCGGGGCTTGATCAAAAACATCCGGGGCTGAAGCCCCAGAAGCCCGGGCCTAATGATGCCACTGTAATTATGCACAATGTTTGTTTATTAATTCATTGTCACATTTAGCAAGAAACATGTTTCCAAGAAGACATATGTGTCATTAATATAGTACCCTAAATGCTAATTATCGTTTGTTCTGTCAGTCACGTTGCGTGCGGAAGTTTTCTTTATCATTGGTTCAACTTCCATCAGGGTGGAGTTAGAGTTTGGACATCACGTGGTGTTATAATAAGCCGATTGGAATTTCTTTCAAGAGCAAAAGCGCTATTACGGACCTATTCGGGACATTCTTATATTAACTTAAGAGGAACATAGGTTGTATGTATGGTTTCCCATTTCAAGTTTTGTAAATTTATATAATTATGGAATAATTATAGCAATATAACAAGAGATTATATTTAACATTAGCCTATATCATATCCCGGTTTTCTATTTTGCTTGCAGTTTTCTGCTTTTTAATAGCTAGTTAGAACATATTGCTCACCGAGCATTTTGACGTTAGTTGCGCATTTTAAAAGTTTAGAGGTGTTGCGTGTTAGCCTTCACTGCATGCTCATTTTTAATAATACATAGGCTTATGTGTTTAAGTTGCAGTTTCTGTAGACTAAACTAACAGTGCGCGCAGGTACCCAAGAGTACCCAAAAACTGTGTAATTATGGGCGACAACCCTGACTTTGATGACAAAGAAATTAAAGAAGAGAAAAATTGTCTGGATCTGGGGAAAACGAACCCTTCCAAATCCGTGGACTTGGAGGAACAAATTGAATGTACGAGCATCTCGAATGAGGACCAGGACAATAGGCCTACAACTACCACGCGTTTATACAAAAGGAGATGGGTGATGGTGTGCCTTTTCAGCTGTTACTCCCTGTGCAACGCATTTCAATGGATCCAATACGGAATAATCAACAATATTTTTATGAAATTCTACAATGTGGACTCTTTTACCATTGACTGGATGTCAATGGTCTATATGTTGACCTATATTCCCTTTATATGGCCTGTCTCCTGGCTTTTGGACAAAAAGGGACTGCGGCTCATAGCACTGATGGCCACCGCCATTAATTGCCTTGGGACATGGATCAAGGTGGCCAGCGTCAGGCCAAACCTATTTTGGGTGACGATGCTCGGACAGTTTGCAGGCTCCCTATCCCAGGTCTTCATCCTTGGGATGCCCTCCCGCCTGGCATCGGTTTGGTTTGGCTCCGAAGAGGTGTCCACCGCCTGTTCCATCGGCGTTTTTGGGAATCAGGTGAGTTTATTCAAATCAATTTATTGGGGGATTATGAAAGAATGTTGATAATACCTTTTGAGCTGGTGCATGGGGTTGAGCAATCAAGAAACAAACCAGGACCTGTGTCTGAGTGATTGCCCTCCATTTATCATCCCATGGATGCACTATTTGTCTCCACACCACTGAGATAGCTCAAGGAGAATATATTCAGAGATCCTATTTAGTGCAACTTGATAAGAGTGATTATACTTAGATGCGCTGCATATTATTCTCCTTTAGAGGTTGATATTGCTGGTCCTGTAGACTCACTAATCCAGGCGTATAGTGATTTACATGCATAGTGACAAGCATGTCCTAAAAACTGATCTGAGATGATTTTCATAGGCAGTTTCACAGTCACTGCTCCAACAAAGTAGCTTTCCAACCAACCGCAGGCATTTTGTTCTTAGTGAGCTTCTTTGCTGGATTACCTCTTTTCAGAGCTCACTTTTGTATGGACTTTTTTAAAATTCTGACTAAAGTAGCCCTTTGTGATTAAGTGTTTGAGTTGATGACAATGAAATACTAAACATGCTGTTTGAGAATATTTAATCATATTAAATATTTATTTTTTTATGTGCGTGTAATGCGCTGAGTAGGGTGACTTCCAACCTATCCAATCAGTCTCCTGTAAGGATGATCTCTTTGAATATGTATACTTTATTAAAACAATTCGGCTCTCAGGTTTCAAATGTATTCAGACAGACACTGACTTTACAGGTTATACCCTAATGCTAACCTGAAAATCGCAACATTCAAATCTTGAAACTCACACCACAGGAACATCCATGAGAAGACATCATGTCAGACCATTTCAATTTTTTTCTGTGTAACTTTTTCTCAAATTGCAGCACGTTTCAATATGTCATCACAACATTGAGCATCTCTATAGCTGAATGATGTGCAATAATTTTCAGAAGTATTTCTATTATGTTTTCTAATACAACTCAATGGATCTTGATGTTTCTTGAGAATTCTGTCACTAAGGCAATTTATGGAAATGAAAGAAAAACTCAGAATAAAAGGAAAATATGAAGGCAAGTAAGGGGAAATGACATGGTCCAATTCCGCCATCTTCTGCCAGTACAGTGTATGCAAGGCTACACTTAATCACATACTTAATGCATTAATGCAGCTACTTTTCTACAGGTACAGTGAGGGAAAAAAGTATTTGATCCCCTGCTGATTTTGTACGTTTGCCCACTGACAAAGACATGATCAGTCTATAGTTTTAATGGTAGGTTTGTTTGAACAGTGAGAGACAGAATAACAACCAAAAAATCCAGAAAAACGCATGTCAAAAATTTTATAAATTGATTTGCATTTTAATGAGGGAAAATAAGTATTTGACCCCTCTGCAAAACATGACTTAGTACTTGGTGGAAAAACCCTTGTTGGCAATCACAGAGGTCAGACGTTTCTTGTAGTTGGCCACCAGGTTTGCACACATCTCAGGAGGGATTTTGTCCCACTCCTCTTTGCAGATCTTCTCCAAGTCATTAAGGTTTCGAGGCTGACGTTTGGCAACTCGAACCTTCAGCTCCCTCCACAGATTTTCTATGGGATTAAGGTCTGGAGACTGGCTAGGCCACTCCAGGACCTTAATGTGCTTCTTCTTGAGTCACTCCTTTGTTGCCTTGGCCGTGTGTTTTGGGTCATTGTCATGCTGGAATAACAATCCACGACCCATTTTCAATGCCCTGGCTGAGGGAAGGAGGTTCTCACCCAAGATTTGACGGTACATGGCCCAGTCCATCATCCCTTTGATGCGGTGAAGTTGTCCTGTCCCCTTAGCAGAAAAACACCCCAAAGCATAATGTTTCCACCTCCATGTTTGACGGTGGGGATGGTGTTCTTGGGGTCATAGGCAGCATTCCTCCTCCTCCAAACACAGCGAGTTGAGTTGATGCCAAAGAGCTCCATTTTGGTCTCATCTGACCACAACACTTTCACCCAGTTCTCCTCTGAATGATTCAGTTGTACATAGGCAAACTTCAGACGGCCCTGCGGGCGCTGCAGGATTTCAGTCCTTCACGGCGTAGTGTGTTACCAATTGTTTTATTGGTGACTATGGTCCCATCTGCCTTGAGATCATTGACCAGATCCTCCCGTGTAGTTCTGGGCTGATTCCTCACCGTTCTCATGATCATTGCAACTCCACGAGGTGAGATCTTGCATGAAGCCCCAGGCCGAGGGAGATTGACAGTTATTTTGTGTTTCTTTCATTTGCGAATAATCGCACCAACTGTTGTCACCTTCTCACCAAGCTGCTTGGCGATGGTCTTGTAGCCCATTCCAGCCTTGTGTAGGTCTACAATCTTGTCCCTGACATCCTTGGAAGAACTCTTTGGTCTTGGCCATGGTGGAGAGTTTGAAATCTGATTGATTGATTGCTTCTGTGGACAGGTGTCTTTTATACAGGTAACAAGCTGAGATTAGGAGCACTCCCTTTAAGAGTGTGCTCCTAATCTCAGCTCGTTACCTGTATAAAAGACACATGGGAGCCAGAAATCTTTCTGATTGAGAGGGGGTCAAATACTTATTTCCCTCATTAAAATGCAAATCAATTTATAACATTTTTGACATGCGTTTTTCTGGATTTTTTTGTTGTTATTCTGTCTCTCACTGTTCAAATAAACATACCATTAAAATTATAGACTGATCATTTCTTTGTCAGTGGGCAAACGTACAAAATCAGCAGGGGATCAAATACTTTTTTCCCCTCACTCTATGTTAAATCGTCGCTCTTTTAAAAATCCTTTATTTACATTTTACAGACGCTCTTATCCAGAGCGACTTACAGGAGCAATTAGGGTTAAGTGCCTTGCTTAAGGGCACATCGACAGATTTTTCACCTAGTCGGCTCAGGGATTAGAACCAGCGACCTTTCGGTTACTGGCACAATGCTCTTACCCACTAAGCTAACTAACTACCTGCCGCTTTATGTAATGTATCCACCACCTGTATTTACGAGGAAATCCGATAAAATATTTTATGAAACGAATAGGCTAGCCTATTATTGATAAAACCTAACATTATACACTTCATACACTCCAGCGGGTGGTGAAGACGTCCCAGTACGTCACTGGGACCGTGCTCCCTCCCATCCAGGACATCTACTCCAAACGGCGCATGAGGAAGGCCAGCAGCGTCATCAAGGACCCCACACACCCCATCCACAAGCTGTTCACTCCCTTACCGTCGGGCAGACGGTATCGGAGCATGAGGTCTGATACTAACAGGCTCAGAGACAGTTTCTATCTACAAGCCATCAGACTGCTGAACACTTGAACTGGACTGACCACCTGCCCTGACTCTCCACACCATAGCACACATGCACTCACGCGCACACCCACACAGAAATGCACTCATCCATACACACACACACACGCACACACAAACACACACACACACACACACACACACACACACACACACACACACACACACACACACACACACACACACACACACACACACACACACACACACACACACACACATACATTCATGCTAAACACACATCACAACTACCAGACTATTATTATGATTGCTAAGTACTGCAAAATTGTAATACTTGCCCCTCAATCCCCCCTTCCCCAAACCACATGTAAATATTGGACTATAAATTGTGCCTTCCTGTATTATACTTACGCAAAAAAATATATACTGAGCCATTTACTTTATGTTCATATTCTTATCTTTTGTGATTTCTTATTGTTGTTAACCTGCAAGTAAGCAATTTGTTGTACAGTGTATACCATGTGTATTCCATACATACGACTAATAAAACTTGAAACTTTAATTAATTTGATGTAATAAATAGGTCAATGGCTAGATGATATCAAAATACACTTAGGAAAATAAGAAAGACTGAAATCTATCCTAATATTCAGCTATATTTCAAATGGCAGAAACGAAAACATTTTATTTATTTCCTTGATTGCATATGTGGATAAGCTTAATAGTAGGCTTACTTTTTAATGAACAATCTTTACATGGCCTATTTGGAATGCATTTGTAGTTTTGGTCTCAGTTTACATAAAAAGGATGGTGTTGGTCGGGCTTCAAGCTTGCTGTGAAGTTGTTCCTTCTCCTTGTCCGCTAAAAGTTTATGATCAGCAGTGGTATAGGACATAGCAGAAACTGTAGGAGCAGTATACCATTGCAATTTTCCACTGTGGTCAATCCCATGAGAGCTATAGACAGCTTTTCTTTTGACCTGAAAAAAATATGGCCTCGGTCTGGCCCTACAATCATATAGACATAATCATAAGATGTGTCTTGTGTTTAGTTGAAAAATGTACACAGGTAGACATATAGCCCACAATAAGTAGAACACAACTCAACGTTTTATGATAGGCTACATTATATAGCAGTGGTGCCTGGAGAAGTGGGTATACTCTAATTTTGCCCAAAATTTCCCAAACAGTTCGCCCGGTGAAGGAAAGGCGCCCTATGTGAAAAATTCTATGACAAACTGTGACATACACTCTGAATGACCTAAAATGATCAATCCCATATTGGTCTTTCACAGTCAGGCCAACCCAAGCTGTACTGTGCAAGTACGCTAATAGTAGGACTACTATTGAAATAGATAGATGAGGCTGTCAACTGAGTCAGAAATACACAGGTTTCAGATTTGTTCTTTTTTTTCTTCAGGTTTTCACTTTAAAAGTCACACTTTTCTAATAGAAAAACAACAAAATTGGATGTTGTAAGTCCACAACAATACTTAAACCACATCTGGGGACCACTTTTGAGGTCTGGGAAAAATCAAAGCAATTTTGATTTTTTATTGTAGTTACCCTTTAATTCAACTGTGCAGGCACCTAGCACTGTTGTTTGGTTAGCAGTGTTTCTGTAGCGCACATGAGATGGAGTTTGCAAAATGACCACTGGATTGATGCCAGTGGTGGAAAAAGTACCCAATTGTCATACTTGAGTAAAAGTAAAGATAACTTAATAGAAAATGAAAGCCACCCAGTAAAATGCTACTTGAGTAAAAGTCTAAAAGTATTTGGTTTTAAATATACTTAAGTATCAAAAGTAAATGTAATTGTTAAAATATACTTAAGTATCAAAAGTAAAAGTAAAAGTATAAATCATTTCAAGTTCCTTATATTAAGCAACCCAGATTTTCTTGGAGGCGTGATTTTAGACTAGAGTAACCAACACACAGGATGCATAACCCAGGTCTCCTGTGCTCAAGAAAAGCATAGGGCTGCTAAGCTGAAGCCTAGGCATTGACTCAGGGAGCCAATACAACTCTTTAGGTCTCAGGCAATGTTAGGCCTACTCATCATTCATGTGTGGTAACTGAACCACCTCTGTTACAATTCCCCATCCTTTGACCTCCTCTTCCTCACAGAAACCCATCTGAGCCACGGCACAAATATGACTGACAAGGTTCGAACAAGGGTCACATCAGAAGAGCACATTAGCTCGCTAAACCAAAGCCTATAGCCAATGTAACTCTTCAGGTATCAGGCAATGTTACTCATCATGTAAACAACTAACCAGGAAGAAGTGGTTTGGTGACCACGCACGTGATGAGTAACTTTGCCTAGTGTTGAGTAACTTTGCCTGAGACCAGAAAAATTGAATTTGCTCCCCAAGATAAATTGCCTATAGGCTTTGGCTTAGCTAAAATGTATTTGTGGTGTACAGTACAGGACACCAGGTTCGAACCCCTAGGCTACCTGGCAAAAATGTTTGCTCGCGAGCCTAACTCATGGGCAACGATGCACCAGGCCAGCTAGTTAACATTAGCATACTACATCTAGCTACATGTTGAACTTCCATCGTCTCAGGCCAGGGGCACAATGTATGAATTTATGGTTGGATCAGAATCGCCGTTATAATCATTGGCCAGTACGGAGATTTACGGAAAACCACAAGTCCAAATCAAAGCTGAGCTCACTCAGTTTAACTCAATGCTGATTGGCTATTATTTAATTTTTTTAAATATCAAGGGAGGCCAAATGCTCACTGGTTTCCCTTGTATTCAATGCTACAGGCGGCAATAATGTCATACTCTTTTTTTACTAGACAGCATCATATATATACATACTGAGACAGAGGGGCGCCGTTTTGTTCGCTCGGATGCTTTCCCCGGTGAGATACATTCAACCTCTTGCAAATTGAAGGACATTTATGAAACACAGAGAGACGAAAGATAAAATATATCTATTTGTATCTTTTTTCTTGGTAACTTTTTTGGGGAAGCCTGGCTTCCCTTGGCATCCATGAATACACGCCACTGACCATTTGCCATTTTCTGTTTACCATTTACCATGTCTGTTTACAGTTTCCAATTCTCAGTTAATCATTTTTAATTTTAATTTTTATGTTCATTGTGGTATGAATCATTTACACTGATGTTTGTCTTGTATATTGTGCTGTTTGTGTTGTGTAGTGTTGAGGACTGTTTGTGCCATGTAGTGTTGAGGACTGTTTGTGTTGTGTAGTGTTGAGGACTGTTTGTGTTGTGTAGTGTTGAGGACTGTTTGTGCCGTGTAGTGTTGAGGACTGTTTGTGTTGTGTAGTGTTGAGGACTGTTTGTGTTGTGTAGTGTTGAGGACTGTTTGTGCCGTGTAGTGTTGAGGACTGTTTGTGTTGTGTAGTGTTGAGGACTGTTTGTGCCGCGTAGTGTTGAGGACTGTTTGTGCCGTGTAGTGTTGAGGACTGTTTGTGCCGTGTAGTGTTGAGGACTGTTTGTGCCGTGTAGTGTTGAGGACAGTTTGTGCCGTGTAGTGTTGAGGACTGTTTGTGTTGTGTAGTGTTGAGGACTGTTTGTGCCGTGTAGTGTTGAGGACTGTTTGTGTTGTGTAGTGTTGAGGACTGTTTGTGTTGTGTAGTGTTGAGGACTGTTTGTGTTGTGTAGTGTTGAGGACTGTTTGTGCCGTGTAGTGTTGAGGACTGTTTGTGTTGTGTAGTGTTGAGGACTGTTTGTGCCGTGTAGTGTTGAGGACTGTTTGTGTTGTGTAGTGTTGAGGACTGTTTGTGTTGTGTAGTGTTGAGGACTGTTGTGTGTAGTGTTGAGGACTGTTTGTGTTGTGTAGTGTTGAGGACTGTTTGTGCCGTGTAGTGTTGAGGACTGTTTGTGTTGCCACATTGCTGCACAATTGTTGTATGATGTCTTAGTTCAGGTATCTCTGGCAGTCTGTTTAATATCTATTAAACCCAGCAATTAAGACGTTTTTAACTGGCGCTCTGACTCTCAGTGCAGAGGGGATCCTCATTTCTGGTCTGTGAAAGACATTAGGATAATTGTATATGGAGGTTATTTGTATACCTGAGGTCAAAACATTGCATTATTTTGAAACATGAGAGGAAACCTTTGTCATTATGAGTGGAGGTCTCAGGGTTTCTCTTTCTGCACTAGCAGGTGCTGTGACAGAAGTTCACAACCATTTTTCTCATGCTGCCGAACTGGACGTACAGTAGTAGTGGCATATGGGAGTCTCTTCACGCCCATAGCTCTGGCTATTCCTGAAAAGAGACTACATTTAGTGACATTTTCACAAGTGACCTGACCTCATAACTTCTAGCATCATGTTTTTACTGGATCATGAAATGACACAATAATACTGCAGCATCCAATACAAAACATGGTTTCATGGTCGACTTTATTATACATATTCTTTGCCAATTTTGTCAGTACATGCTCTACCATTTGAGGTCAGGGCTGATAATAACAAAGATTGAAAATAAACTGGCTGAGGTTTGAGTTTATGCCCTGTTGAGGTAATTCTCAAGACAGATGATGTAATGTGATCTGGCATTAGAATACCCTATTTATATGGCACAAACACTGAGGCTCTGCTCCAATATCTCAAATCAAATCAAATACATGTTTATTTGTCAAATGCGCCAAATACAACAGGTGTAGACTTTGAGTTTATTTTTATTTTTACAGCGACAGTGCACATTAATCAACGTTTCAGTAAAAAGGCCGGTTTTAGCCAGCCGGCTAACTTTCAACCGCAGTGCCAGGGCAGGTTATTAAAAACTATTACAATAACAATCCAGACAAACAATGAGCAGTGAGCCATGCAGAGCAACACAGGATAAGCAACACGTAGCACGCAGACAGAGCAACACAGGACAAGCAACACGTAGCACGCAGACAGAGCAACACAGGACAAGCAACACGTAGCACACAGACAGAGCAACACAGGACAAGCAACACGTAGCACGCAGACAGAGCAACACAGGACAAGCAACACGTAGCACGCAGACAGAGCAACACAGGACAAGCAACACGTAGCACGCAGACAGAGCAACACAGGACAAGCAACACGTAGCACGCAGACAGAGCAACACAGGACAAGCAACACGTAGCACACAGCAATAGCACAAAAAGCAACAAAACAAAATACATAAAAGCAATGAAGTGTTTACACACCTCACAAGCTACAGACAACTTTAACGTGAAATGCTTACTTACAAGCCCTTTCCCAACAATGCAGAGTTAAAAAGTAAACATGTAAAAAGCACTATAAAATTACAATAACGAGGCTATATACAAGGAGTACCGGTACCGAGTCAATGTGCAGGGGTACTCTGACCTAACTGCTGGATATCACAAGGTCATATGAGGAGCAGGTGCATCTTTTCTTTAGGTCTATTGTAGAATATTTGGATTGTGTATGTTCATTCACCACCGGTGAGCTGGCCGGGCAGGTCATGTAGTACAGTGGTTCCCAAACTGTGGGGCGTGCCCCCTAGGGGGAGCATGAGGGGTCGGCAGGGGAACTTAGTCCGGCTTTCAACTTACTCTTGAAAGTTGTAATAGTAGAATGCACAAGGTGCAATTTCGAAATTGGGTAGTGCATCATCAGTTCCTCTTGTCATGTTAGTCATTGCATACCTTAGAGAGATATTTATAACTTGTCAGGATTGTACAGATCAACTAGCCCATGTCAGCTAACGTGTTTTTATTTAGGTTTTTTAGCCTATAGATATAGTTGTAATGTTTTTGTCACTCAAATATCACATTAATACACATTAGACATGGCAAAATGTATAGAATTGCACGAAAATTTGCTTTAAAATTGCAACATTTTCATTGCACTCCATGACAAAATGTGTATAATTGCAGGAAATTAGCTTTAAACCTGCAAAATTCTCTCTACCAACAAGAGGGGTGTGAACAGTTTGTGTCATGAACAGTGCTTGTGCCCATAGAAATAGACACGTGCGCGGGATGTTCCCTAATGCTGGAAGGGGGGCCCGAGTGAAAAAGTTTGCGAGCCCCTGATGTTGTACAGTAAAAACATAGAAGGTATAGTCTAAGCGTAGGGTACTGTGAGTCTCACATGGTCAAGAACTTAAATATACGTTTGCATCATCTCCACTGTTGTTCAAGCCCAAGTCCCTGACATAAGAGCTTGAGTGTGACTTGAGCGTGAGGCAGGGGGATAACAAATCTGCATCACAAAAAAAAGCAAAGCAGGAAAGCACTGGAAGTTATTTTAAATATGTCAGATGTGTTTTCTTTTATGCCTCAAATCCCTTTTTTAGTGCCTTGGTTATGATGCTTTTCCCTTAATAACATTGTTTTGTATGTGTGTGGAGGTGTGAGGGGAGGAGTCATTGAATGATCATGTATTTTTGTCTCCCTCACTCACAGTTGGGCATTGCCATTGGCTTCCTGGTGCCGCCCATCCTCGTGCCAAATGTTGACAATATAGACGAGCTGGCATACCACATCAGCATCATGTTCTACATCACTGCTGGAGTGGCCACCGTGATCTTCATCCTCGTGGTCTTCAGTAAGTCCTGAGGGAAAATGGACAATCTTATGCACAGTACATCCTATGGCTAACACATATAGTTGGCCAGTAGAGGTACTCCTTCCTAAGCTCATCCCAATTATAACATATAACTCTTTCAGTCATTATGAGCCTTGATATGTTGAATTCATTATAATGCCAGTATGAGGTGCCAGTATTACCTCTCCCCTAACATTGTCTATGTCACAACAACTCATAGAAAACTCAAAGAGATTTGGTGTCCGACTTGCTTCATTGTAAGATTATTTAAAGGGGGACACAGAGCTCTGCTATGGCAATTTGAATACAATTACATTGCAGCATTGCATCTCCAGGGCTTACCATTGGGTCTGCAGTTCTGTAGTCTTCTGTCCTGGATATCTATTTGTCCCTGGCTGTCATGTTCTCCTGGCAGTGTTAGTGGATAGGTCAGCAGTCTCAGGGATTAGTGCGTGTTGAGATGTGCTCTGAACAGACCACTTAACGTCTCTTCACTCACTCGCTGTGGATGCCGCAGGGCTTCAATCGCTGTAATTGACCGAGATCCCTTTAGATGTGATATTAAAACGGAGTAGGGACGTTGAGAGGTATAATATAGAATCATTCCTTTGCCCCCCTAGGCTCTGTTTAATGACTATGACACTTTCTCGGAGTGATGACATGGTAGAATAGATAGAGAAGTATTCACATGAGTCACATGAACTTCAGTAAGCTATGTTTGTCCAGTGTTCATGACTTCTGCAATTACCCTCAGTGAAAACTGCTGAACTGCCTTTTAAAATAATTTTTATTTCAACAAACCAGGTTATCCCACTTCTGTTTTGGGGCCTCCCATGTTTTGTTGAAAGAGGCACATTGGGCAAGCTTAGACATGGAACCTGGCCTTAGAAGAAGAAAAGAGATTCACTGCCTGACCAGACATCTTTGGTCTATTCTTGACTATTGGGAAATAAAACTCTCCTCCGATGTCAGCAGACGGTATTGAGTAGCGACTTAACAAATTGATCAAACTGAACACTGGATAAGACAAGGACCTTTCTATCTCCCCAGACTGCCCTGAGGGAACATATAAGCATGTTTACAGCCTGTAGCCCTCTAGTTCTGGATCAGTAAACCGGATAATCTTGCAAGAAAATTCAGAGTCAATTCAGAGTCACTGGGGATGGGGGGACATGTCCCCCCCCCACATTCTGAAATTGCATTTTTGTCCCCCCCCAGTTTTATAATTGGAATGTGATACAAAACGAGGCAACGTGTGCTTTAGGACCATGCGGACGCCTCCGAGTGGTCAGGTAGGCTAAAAGTATGTCCCCCCCACTTCTAAAACCAAAGTTGTGCCCCTGAGACAACCTATACCTCTCTTGGCAAGGTCCGCTGGATCCAACCCATGGCAACTTCACCCTGGTCACATGATTAACCCGGCCACACCCTCTGCGGCCCCCCTCAACATGCCAACATTCAGGCTACTGACAAGGCCGGTGGACAATGTTTTGCTGCACTTTCACACTCAACCAAATGAAACTGGAGCCATGGGTGGAGGCTGTGGGCAGATAGAGGCCTGGCCAGCAACACTGGTGCACTGAGGGGATAGGATGTTGCATGTTTTCTTTATTTTCTACCACTATAGCTATAGGTTTTCTCACTCAGATAACACACTGAGGGTCACAGCTAAGTGGTTGATCTCACCTCAAACTGTTACTATATTTATCTTGAGACTTTGTACTCAAGATTTCTTTATTCTGATAACGATGCTGATACATACCGTATGTTCCAGTCTGTAAGTCTTAAAAAAACAGGAATCTGTTTTTCAAAGGCGCTGAGAGATATTTGATATTTGATGTCAGTTGTTATCAATTGTGTATGTATAAAGGTGTGGTTAATCAAACAGGTAAGGTAGGTCGCAGTGTGCTGATGTAGTGGCTGTACTGTATGTGTCACCCATATGTGGTTAGGACTCACTCGCTGTGGATGCCGCAGGGCTTCAATCGCTGTAATTGACCGAGATCCCTTTAGATGTGATATTAAAACGGAGTAGGGACGTTGAGAGGTATTATATAGAATCATTCCTTTGCCCCCCTAGGCTCTGTTTAATGACTATGACACTTTCTCGGAGTGATGACATGGTAGAATAGATAGAGAAGTATTCACATGAGTCACATGAACTTCAGTAAGCTATGTTTGTCCAGTGTTCATGACTTCTGCAATTACCCTCAGTGAAAACTGCTGAACTGCCTTTTTAAATTATTTTTATTTCAACATACAAACCAGGTTATCCCACTTCTGTTTTGGGGCCTCCCATGTTTTGTTGAAAGAGGCACATTGGGCAAGCTTAGACATGGAACCTGGCCTTAGAAGAAGAAAAGAGATTCACTGCCTGACCAGACATCTTTGATCTCTTCTTGACTATTGGGAAATAAAACTCTCCTCCGGTGTCAGCAGACGGTATTGAGTAGCGACTTAACAAATTGATCAAACTGAACACTGGATAAGAAAAGGCCATTTCTATCTCCCCAGACTGCCCTGAGGGAACATATAAGCATGTTTACAGCCTGTAGCCCTCTAGTTCTGGATCAGTAAACCGGATAATCTTGCAAGAAAATTCAGAGTCAACCCAGGGGCGCAACTTTCACTGGGGATGGGGGGACATGTCCCCCCCCCCCCCCCACATTCTGAAATTGCATTTTTGTCCCCCCCCAGTTTTATAATTGGAATGTGATACAAAACGAGGCAACGTGTGCTTTAGGACCATGCGGACGCCTCCGAGTGGTCAGGTAGGCTAAAAGTATGTCCCCCCCACTTCTAAAACCAAAGTTGTGCCCCTGAGACAACCTATACCTCTCTTGGCAAGGTCCGCTGGATCCAACCCATGGCAACTTCACCCTGGTCACATGATTAACCCGGCCACACCCTCTGCGGGCCCCCTCAACATGCCAACATTCAGGCTACTGACAAGGCCGGTGGACAATGTTTTGCTGCACTTTCTCACTCAACCAAATGAAACTGGAGCCATGGGTGGAGGCTGTGGGCAGATAGAGGCCTGGCCAGCAACACTGGTGCACTGAGGGGATAGGATGTTGCATGTTTTCTTTATTTCCTACCACTATAGCTATAGGTTTTCTCACTCAGATAACACACTGAGGGTCACAGCTAAGTGGTTGATCTCACCTCAAACTGTTACTATATTTATCTTGAGACTTTGTATTCAAGATTTCTTTATTCTAATAACGATGCTGATTCATACCGTATGTTCCAGTCTGTAAGTCTTAAAAAAAAGGAATCTGTTTTTCAAAGGCGCTGAGAGATATTTGATATTTGATGTCAGTTGTTATCAATTGTGTATGTATAAAGGTGTGGTTAATCAAACAGGTAAGGTAGGTCGCAGTGTGCTGATGTAATGGCTGTACTGTATGTGTCACCCATATGTGGTTAGGACTCACTGTAAGCTGGGTTCTGTAAGATGCAGTATCTGATACCTATTGAAGCCCTCTGTTAGCTGGGTGCTGTAAGATATCTGATACCTATTGAAGCCCTCTGTTAGCTGGGTGCTGTAAGATATCTGATGCCTATTGAACCCCTCTGTTAGCTGGGTGCTGTAAGATATATGATGCCTATTGAAGCCCTCTGTTAGCTGGGTGCTGTAAGATATCTGATGCCTATTGAAGCCCTTTGTCAGCTGTACAGATAGGTGGAGTAGAGGCTAGTTGATGTATGGGTCTACTCCTGCCCCAGTGAGCTGATCTCTCCTCCCCTTCTCAGACTGAACGTTGGAGCTGGACTCTCCAGCATGGCTATTGTTGAATCACTGATTGACTGACTCACTCTGGGGAGCACCAGGGATGTGGAGGAAGAGAGGGGCCCTTGATAGGACAAACAGTTACTGGTGCATTTCATCTCTCCAACTTCTCATGGTGTTATTATCTCTCCAGTCTTCAGGCGAATTCTCAGACATGCATAATCTCTCCATCGTTCTCTCATTCTCTTTCTCACTCTTTCTCTCTCGCTCTTTTAGAGATAGGCCCGGTTTCTTGCCTTGGCTGTGCTGTACCGAACTAGCTGGCTGTGACTTTGGATCCAATTTTAACATTGTCTTTTAAAGGGCTCTGACAGTTGTGCAACTTCAGAATCTACATCCGACCCTTTTCTAATATCTTTTGGGTGTGTCTAGATCATGTATGTTGAGATAACACACATTTAGGTGTGTCTATGATTGGTGTTGTTTGTGAAATATTTGTATAGGAATTAATGGTCCAGTGTTACGGGAATTGCATACAAACTTCTACATTACAGTATATCAGCATTATCACATTATCATTACCGGTTCTGCATCTGTGTCCAACAGTGTTCCAAGAGAAGCCGGAAATCCCTCCCACCCTGGCTCAGGTCCAGGCCAGGAGCATCCCTCCAGAGCAGTACTCCTACATGGCCTCTATCCTGAGACTGCTGCATAACCTACCCTTCATGCTCCTCGTCATCAGCTATGGTGGGTCCTATTCACCCTCAATCACCCTCAAATCACACCCATGTCTACCATCAAGGCTGGTCAGATCAAAGGTTGTTGTGTGGGTGATGCCCCAGACCTCATCTTATACACACACATGGCCTCACAGCAGAATTACCCCTCTTTGAAGTACACTGTGCACTATCCATTAGTCTATACTTTGTGTCCCCTGAATGAGTTCAAGTAAGGTGAACTCACTTACAAATGTAAATATGAACAACGTGGATGCTGTTGCATTATCACAGTGAAAGGTGACAGGTGTATGAAAACATGTACCTAGCATCAGAATATAACCATCTGAAGATAACATCTGTTAGGGTCTTAAAGCCAGATCAATAGATCAATAGGTCATTATCAGTTTGTGCAGAGATACGTGAATATATCTCTTACTATGTTTTTGTATCCAGCACACTGTACATGTGTACATCCAAAGGTCTTTTTGAGGATTTTAGGTTTATTGTCAGATTCTTAGGGTTTAAAGGTCACAGTCCTTGTAGTTAATGGTTAACTTAATGAAGATGTGCAATGGTAGCGTTACATAAAAGTGTTGCCTCAGGTCAGCTTAGCCTGATTCAGTTTTTACTGAATTGTTGGCTGCCGTGGCTGTCCCATCTCAATATAAACAATGACATAAATGCTAGAGTTTAACTATTACTTATGTTATGCCCTTTAACTGTTTGGAAATATGAAGTTTTACTTGTTTAGATTTCATTTTTTAAATGTTATTTGTTATTAACATTGTTTACCCTTTGATGTGGCAAATAAGGATTTTCAGAAATAAGACAACAAACCTTAAGGGCAAAGCTGTCCTAACCAATTAAATATTGAGTGACACACCACAATTTATGTCAAAGTCAAATAGTCTCTCCTTTGCACTAGTGTAGTAGTAGACTGGCTAAGGGCCAAGTATGGGTTCCATGTGTGTGTCTGCCAGGCTTCCTTTAGGACAGGGCCAGTGAAACCCAAACACAGCATCCCATCTGGATCCCCCTGCTTTCCCTGCAGGCCTCCTCGCTCAGACTAAAGAAAGACCTGCTCCTCTGCAGACTACAGCTCCTGTAAAATACAGCTCTGTCTCGGAGTACAGAAACAGAACTAACATGTTTCCTGATGTTTTCTGCAGGGCTGAATGTCGGTTGTTTCTATGCTGTTTCCACACTGTTGAACCGGATGATTATTGAGCATTATCCAGTAAGTCTCACCTGAATCTTATCACAACCAAACCAACATAGTCTGCATAAGTCCCTCTGTGGTCATGACCTTCAGTTATATCCTCAATTACTGTATTCAAGGAAGATCTTGAGATGTTACCTCCCCAATAAGTAAAACATGTAAATGTGTAATCTATAATTAAGGGTATTTTCTAGACTAAAGACAAAATTCTATAGCCCCAAAAAAGATAACTGGGGTCTAAGAGATAACTAGTACCATGTTGTAGTAGCAAGTAGGCTCACCCCAGATAAGATAACTGAAGGGCGTGAGAGGGTCAGGATGTCAAATGTTAGACTGCAGAAAGACCAATTCTGTCATGTTCACCTCCACAGGGTGAAGAGGTGAATGCTGGGAGAATTGGCCTCACCATTGTCATTGCGGGGATGGTGGGGTCCCTCATATGTGGGATCTGGTTGGACAAGACCAAAACCTACAAGTAAGATACTCCAAGGAACACTTGAGAGAACACAATACTTGACTAAAAACACACATTATTGCATGCAGCATTATGCTCCTAGATACAATAGCTTTTTTGTGTGACTTTGATCACTGAGTGGCCTTTTGGGCCCTAAGCGAGATTTGGTTGGGGGGCCGCCCCCACCTCGCTGGGAAAACATTTTAGTTCCCCCCCTCTTGATGGCTGAGAAAACGTTTTAAGTGAATGTCCTGCAATTCTACACATTTTGCCATGTGGTGTAGAGAAAATGTTACAGTTTTAAAGCAAGTTTTCTGCAATTCTATACATTTTGACATGGGATGTAAAGAAAATGATGCCATTTTATTTTTTGAAAAATCATGCAATTCTACTAATTTTGCCATGGGGCAGAGCGTAAAATGGGCCATTTAACAGCTAATTTCCTGCAATTCTACCCATTTTGTAATAACTGATGCCATGATAAAATCAATGTGGGCCCCCTGGAGGTCAGGGCCCCTGGGCACGTGCCCTGCGTGCCCGGTCGGTATAAGGCCATGATTAATACAACTTTAGAGAGCTGGCTAGACTTACCAATCTGACATGGCTTATTGACTGACTGTCAGTGACTGACATAACAAGATAAAAACTGCTGATGCACAACCAAATTTCAAAATTGCACCTTGTGTATTCTAGTAACAGTAAGTTGAGACCCTGACTGAGTTCCTAAAAAAACTAAAACGATTTGGTTGGGGGCCCCCTAGTGGCACTTATGCCCAGGGCTCAGTGGCCTTTCCTTAGTACTAAGTAACTAAATAAGGTCCCCAACTTAGACAGATACACATTGTAATAGTGTGGCTGTAGCTGGTTGCTGACAAGGCTGCTGACTAATCTTTTGTCTGATGACACCAGAAAATTCCCAGGAATTGGCTTTATAATCCTCTCAAGCTTTTTTGTCACGCTCTGTGATCAAGTCAGTCAAGCTCTGTGTTGAAAGAGGTCCAGTAACTGCTGATGAGTTAGTTAATAAGATAAGATAAGAGCTGTTAAGGTCCCACTGCTCATCTCTTATTTGAGAACCTTTGCCCTTTTTAATTAGTGATTAAAATGTGATTTGCCTTGGGTACAGATAACTATTGTGTACAGATAAAGACTAGTTCATACAGCTCTCATGCTCAAGCAGTAGCCAGATTCACTGTATCTACTTAAGCTTACTCATACATATAATATCCCAAAATCATATCCTTCATTAAAAAACTATCCATAGCATAGGTTGACAAGGTAACAATCAGTAATGTTGTGATACTCTCTTGAGCTCCGGGTTATAAAAACAATAAACCCAATATGACCTTGGATGGGCTGGGCTCTTGCTTCTGTCATTAGCCACTCTAAAGGAAGCACTTTCTGCATGAATGCCTTTTAAATCTCTCATTCAAAGGCAGATTAGTTATTTTAGATTAGTTATTTTTGTTGGAAGTGGAAACCATTGAGGTTCTGGAGGAACTAAGTGTTGTATCTGATGCCTCTCCCTGCATATCCGAGCTGACAAGCTTTAGCTATGAATCCTCTCAGCTGAAGTACTGGCCTCAGGCACCATAGAGAATGGTGCCTGAGAGGAAGTCTCTATCCTTGAAACGCATCTATATACAGATGTAGGATCTTAATTTGAGCCAGTTTGCTACAGCAGGAAAATAATCCTGCAGAAACAGGAAATGTGAATTATTACAGTGAGGGAAAAAAGTATTTGATCCCCTGCTGATTTTGTACGTTTGCCCACTGACAAAGACATGATCAGTCTATAATTTTAATGGTAGGACTAGTTGAACAGTGAGAGACAGAATAACAACAAAAAAATCCAGAAAAACGCATGTCACAAATGTTATAAATTGATTTACATTTTAATGAGGGAAATAAGTATTTGACCCCTCTGCAAAACATGACTTAATACTTGGTGGCAAAACCCTTGTTGGCAATCACAGAGGTCAGACGTTTCTTGTAGTTGGCCACCAGGTTTGCACACATCTCAGGAGGGATTTTGTTCCACTCCTCTTTGCAGATCTTCTCCAAGTCATTAAGGTTTCGAGGCTGACGTTTGGCAACTCGAACCTTCAGCTCCCTCCACAGATTTTCTATGGGATTAAGATCTGGAGACTGGCAGGCCACTCCAGGACCTTAATGTGCTTCTTCTTGAGCCACTCCTTTGTTGCCTTGTGTTTTGGGTCATTGTCATGCTGGAATACCCATCCATGACCCATTTTCAATGCCCTGGCTGAGGGAAGGAGGTTCTCACCCAAGATTTGATGGTACATGGCCCCATCCATCGTCCCTTTGATGCGGTGAAGTTGTCCTGTCCCCTTAGCAGAAAAACTCCCCCAAAGCATAATGTTTCCACCTCCATGTTTGACGGTGGGGATGGTGTTCTTGGGGTCATAGGCAGCATTCCTCCTCCTCCAAACACGGCGAGTTGAGTTGATGCCAAAGAGCTCGATTTTGGTCTCATCTGACCACAACACTTTCACCCAGTTCTCCTCTGAATCATTCAGATGTTCATTGGCAAACTTCAGACGGCCCTGTATATGTGCTTTCTTGAGCAGGGGGACCTTGCGGGCGTTGCAGGATTTCAGTCTTTCACGGCGTAGTGTGTTACCAATTGTTTTCTTGGTGACTATGGTCCCAGCTGTCTTCAGATCATTGACAAGACCTTCCTGTGTAGTTCTGGGCTGATTCCTCACCGTTCTCATGATCATTGCAACTCCACGAGGTGAGATCTTGCATGGAGCCCCAGGCCGAGGGAGATTGACAGGTCTTTTGTGTTTCTTCCATTTGCGAATAATCGCACCAACTGTTGTCACCTTCTCACCAAGCTGCTTGGCGATGGTCTTGTAGCCCATTCCAGCCTTGTGTAGGTCTACAATCTTGTCCCTGACATCCTTGGAGAGGTCTTTGGTCTTGGCCATGGTGGAGAGTTTGGAATCTGATTGATTGATTGCTTCTGTGGACAGGTGTCTTTTATACAGGTAACAAGCTGAGATTAGGAGCACTCCCTTTAAGAGTGTGCTCCTAATCTCAGCTCGTTACCTGTATAAAAGACACCTGGGAGCCAGAAATCTTTCTGATTGACAGGGGGTCAAATACTTATTTCCCTCATTAAAATGCAAATCAATTTATAACATTTTTGACATGTGTTTTTCTGGATTTTTTTGTTGTTATTCTGTCTCTCACTGTTCAAATAAACCTACCATTAAAATTATAGACTGATCATTTCTTTGTCAGTGGGCAAACGTACAAAATCAGCAGGGGATCAAATACTTTTTTCCCTCACTGTATATGGATTATAATTGATGGACATTTTTTGTAGGGGTTGATACATTTTTCATTAGGGCAAATCAAGTCTGGGAAAGGGAAAGGGAAAGGGGGATGGATACCTAGTCAGTTGTACAACTGAACGCATTCAACTGAAATGTGTCTTCCGTATTTAACCCAACCCCTCTGAATCAGAGAGATGCGGGGGGCTGCCTCAATCGACATCCATGTCATCGGCGCCTGGGGAACAGTGGCTGACATTTTAAAGTGGAGATTACAAACTTGAGAAGCCTTCCTGCTGTGTAGGAAAATTATCAGTAACAAAAGAGTGATCAAGTTAAGATGCTACATCTGCTGACGTCATTAATGCAGTCATTCAGACATCGGCACAGACAATGTCCAATTCCGTTTGACCTCCTTTCTATTTGTTTTGGTCAAATAACACAGGCCGTTGTTTCTCACCACAGAGCAGTCATTCATCAAACACCTTCTGACCTGATCATGAACAAACAATGAATCAACTATGTAGTAATTTTAGGTGATACCCAACTTTACACATCAGGGAATGCTATAACAACAGCAGTGGCAGTACCAAGTGTTTACCTGCCAACCTAGCCTCCTAACTCCCACTTCACACCCAGGAGACAGTTATCTAAATAGGACTAATCGTAGCAAAACATGCTCAGCATTTAATGTCCAACAAGATATTGTAGCCTATAGCTTTTGCGACTCCAGGAGAAGAGTAATAGCGGAGCGGCTTGCATAATTGTGCACAGGCTCATCTGGAAAAGAGAGGCTATGTGTAGCTGAAGAAGCTCATTCATATTAGCTCATTTGTTGGCTAAACATTAGGCCTAATACGGCAGTAAATGTATTATCTCCAGACAATGTGATCACACCATTGCATGCTTTCTCTCCTTTCAAACTCCCCACCAGTTATTTTGGCTGAAGACAGATAGCCTACTAGTGATTTGCAGTTTAAGTTAGAAACGCATGCATATTAACCCATCATTTAGTAGCTAAATATAAGGGCCTTTAAAAATGGAGCTGTCAAGAAAAAAAGATGCAATGGCAGATACGGTGTGTGTGTTTCCCCATGCATTTCTGTGACAATAGACAATAACAGCTCAAGGACAGAACTACATACATTTAAATGGAGAGAATAAATGCATTAAAAGCATTTCTGTGAAGCTTTGTGATTGACAAGGGCAAGTTTGATGTCGGACAACAATAGAATGTTCATTATTTAAGATGAAAGGCAACGTTTTATACTGAGGCGTTGGCGGGACTTTTAAACATAATACTGCATTCATTACTACCTCGGTTAGCGGAAATAAAAGTACAGGCTTTATGACCGGCAATACCTTTCAAATATAAAGAAAAGGTGGTAAAAAGTTGATGGCATGGTAAAGTTGGCGACTTTTCGTCTTGGTATGAAAGGGATATATAACACAATATGTTATGAGGGTGAAAATTGTTTCCCCAAATTCTTCACATGCCATTTGAATAAATTCAGCCAAAGCAGTCAACCCAGATTTCTGTTATTGACACTCCCTTCCTCATACCTCCATGTGTGTGAGAGACAAAGGACTAAGTTGTATTAACAACAACAGCTGAGTGGAGCAATGTTTCATGCGTGGTTGTACAGGAAGAGCTTCACCATAGTAAGCCTGTTGGTGTAGGCCAGAATGTGCCAGAGTTTTGATAAGGGGGTCTTAGATGGTCAGGAATCTTGTTTTTCCTCTCATAGAGGATGGGATGGGAGGTGTTAACAGTGAAGCCACAGCCAGCCTCATCAAACAGTTCTGCATACTATTTCAGAACCTCAACTGGTTACTGGTGCTGTATGTAGGCCTACCACAGAGTGTTGCAGGACTGGAACTTTTCTGAAGTGCTTTGTGAAACTTATGTAAAAGCAATATCCAGATAAGATGAATACATTGCAGACTCATTCAAATCCCATATGGGATATACAGCAATGTTGACGTGTCCTTGAGCAATGCACCAAATCAAACCGCTTATAAAAATGTAGTTAGTACATTTCTGTTTACACAAACATACAGTACATTTCATACAGGCAAAACCCAGAACAAAACAAACATATATTATTATTTTCCTCTCTCCCCAGACAGACTACCCTGGCTGTATATCTTCTGTCCTTCGTGGGAATGGTGGTCTATGCCTTCACCCTCAACTTAGGCCACCTATGGGTAGTGTTTGTAATGTCGGGGGCTCTAGGGTAAGAGTGAACAAACACTATGACCATACACAATGATGTTTGTGAATTATTTGCATTTACTAGCTATTCCACCTTTAGCATGTCAGTTGTAATGTGGGGTGGACTAGGTTTCCTGCCCTGGTCACACTGCATGCTATTTACATTGCAAACGGCCTCCTTGCTCTTTAAACAGCCACTCTGTGGGAAGAGACAGACAATATCTTAAAATGCTGAGTAGTTGTGTTCAAAGACTGTTTAACATCAAGTGTAGTGGGAGACAAGTCCATTTAAATGATTCTGTGCAACATTAATTATTTTCCCCTGGAGTTTAATAAGTATTTTATTATTTGTTAATTGATGTATAAAGGATATGAACAAGGTGAAGGTTTAAAAGGGTGTGCTAGAGTAATGCCCTCAGAGGAGATTTGGCTGTGGAGTAGATTTGTTATTTCTCTCAGCAGGCATGAAATGTTAAAAGTGCTGCTCTTTAGTTTGAGTAAAAACAACACTGATAAACCTCCTATGTCTTCAGGTTCTTCATGACTGGGTACCTGCCGCTTGGCTTTGAGTTTGCTGTGGAGCTGACCTTCCCAGAGTGTGAGGGCACCTCCTCAGGCCTGCTCAACTGTTCAGCTCAGGTAACAGAGATCATACTTTGGGATCATATTCACTATCGAAGTAGTACATCTAGGTTTGTTGTATGCATGAAGTCTATGTATGAACTCAATGAATTTTATGCACGCTTTGACAATAACAACATCGTGCCGGGTGTGAGAGCCACCACCAACCCAGAAGATTTGGTGATCTCGCTCTCCAAGGCCGAAGTGAGTCCAGTCTGTAATCCCCACATGTTTTAAGATGACTACCATCATTCCTGTTCCTAAGAACTCTAAGGCTTCATGCCACAATGACTACCGCCCTGTAGCACTCACATCTGTAATCATGAAGTGCTTTGAGAGGCTGGTTATGCCACACATCAACTCCATCATCCCAGACACCCAAGACCCCCTCCAATTTGTATACCGCCCCAACAGTTCCATAGACGACGCAATCTCAATTGCACTCCACACTGCCCTCACCCACCTAGATAAGAGGAAACCCTATGTGAGAATGCTGTTCATTGACTATAGATCAGCGTCAGGAAGATCCTGGACTTCCTGACGGGCCTACCCCAGGTGGTGAGGGTAGGCAACATCACCTCTGCTCTGCCTCAACACGGGGCCCCACAGGGGTGTGTCCTTAGTCCCCTCCTGTACTCCCTGTTCACCCACGACTGCGTGGCCATGCTCGACCCCCAACACCATCCACCTCGATGGGGCTGCAGTGGAGCAGGTCGAGAGCTTAAAGTTCCTCTGTGTCCAAATCACTAAGAACTTAAAATGGTCCACACACGCGCACAGTCGTGAAGAAGGCGCAGCACCGCCTCTTCCCTCTCAGGGGGTTGAAAAGGTTTGGCATGGGCCCCCAAATCCTCAAAAAGTTATACAGCTGTACCATTGAGAGCATCTTGACTGGCTGGATCACTGCTTGATATGGCAATAGCACTGCCCTAGATTGCATGGCGCTACAGATGGTGGTGCGGACAGCCCAGTACATCACTGGGGCCGAGCTCCCTGCCATCCAGGACCTCTATATCAGGCCTTATGAAAGGAAGGCCTGGGAAATCGTTAAAGACTCCAACCACCAAAGCCATATAATGTTCTCTCTGCTTCCGCACGGCAAGCGGTACCTGTACATCAGGTCTGACACCAACAGGCTCCTGAACAGCTTCTATCCCCAAGCCATAAGACTGCTAAATAGCTAATTAAATAGCTAATAAAATGGCTACACGGACTATCTGAGTTGGCCTTTGTATTTTATTCTTATTTTTGCACTGTTTCTATGCACACTCACAGGACCCTACACACTATGCACACTGATACTCCAACATGCATACAAACGCTCACGCCATAATTTGCACACACACATAATATGCACATACATTAAAATGTTATACAGACTCTACTCACACCCAACTCAGATACAATCATCATATACGCTGCTACTACTCTGTTTATAATATATCCTGATGCCTACAGTAGTCACCTTACCCCTATACATATCTACCTCTATCGATCCAGTATCCCTGCACATTGTAAATATGGTACTGGAACTGACCCTGTGTATAGTATGCTTACTTACTTTATTGTGTTCTTCTTATTTTTATATATTGTGTGTTTTTGTACTACCTTGTTATTTTTTGTATTATATTGTTATTGATTACTGCATTGTTAAGGGTTAGAGCTTGCAAGAAAGGCATTTCACTGTACTTGTGCATGTGACATTAAAACTTGAAACTTGAATGTGTTTAGAGATGATCAACTCTCATGTTCACTCCCCTCATTTGCCTTCCATCTTCTTCCAGATATTTGGGATCATATTCACCATTGGTCAAGGGAAGATCATAGAGCACTTTGGCACATTCGCTGGGAACATTTTTCTCTGTGTCTTCCTCTTCATAGGCACTATTATGACAGGTAGAGTTTGCTTACCCCGCACACACATATTATAGCCTTATTTTGCAATAACAGAACAGCTTTATGGTAGATTGAACATTGGACACATCTGCCTGCAGCTGTTATAGTCAAGCACAGTGTCATGTTATGTGATCCACATTATATGGGGCTGTAGTAAGGCACGACTCCTCAAATCATTGAGTCAGTTGCACAGATGTTGTATAACAGCTGTGTCTAGGATTCATCATGGAGTAATGATGCCCTCTAGTGGCTCATAGTAACACATTTTCATGCAGTAGTACATTTCCCACATTGTTTTAGAGGCTATACATGCCCCATGTATTCTTGAATATGAATGCTATATATGACCCATGCATTCCTAATATCTGTTTCTGAGAAGTTCTGAGTAGTACCTTTCCTCTTTATATGTCACAGCATTCATCAAGTCTGACCTCCGACGGCAAAAGGCCAACCATCTGGCTGAGACACAGGCGGCGAGTGTAAGTATATCTGTTTCTGCTATTTGGTGTCAGCGGTAGGATCTCTGCATTCCAGTTAAAAGGGATGTGATGTGTTGGATACTGGCTGTCTGGCTGCTTCTCTGGGGCTGGGTTCTTCTTGCTTGCGGAGTGGATACAGGGGTAACAGGCATCAGACACCACCATGCTTTTCCTCAGCTCTCTGAAAACAACCTAGGTGTTTCTGAAAACATGACTTTGCACCCGCTGTCAGCGCTCCAACTAGCTGTATTTGATTATATGCCTCGCTGGTGTTTGATACAAAAGCATGCTTAAGAAGTTTCTGTTTCATTCGACATGCAAACATGCATTACAAAGATACTATACCTTTCGTCACAGATTATTATGACTGCAAACTGCAGAGCTATAAGAAGCTACAGGTATCGCACAATATTTACATTTACATTTTAATCATTTAGCAGACGCTCTTATCCAGAGCGACTTACAGTTAGTGAGTGCATACATTATTCTTTTTTTTATATATATATATTTTTTTTTTTACTGGCCCCCCGTGGGATATCAGGGTGAAATATCCTTGTGGTTTATCTGGAGTATAAAACTACAATGATAATACAATGACTCAGTATATTCATCATAAGAGTGTACAATAGGCAATAGTAAAAACATATATCACATTTTCTTTTTCAATTTCACTCACTTGGCAGCAAAATAAATCATATACAAATGGCTTGCTTACGCAATATAAAATTGAATTCTCAAATAAATAAAAGCTTTAATCATATAATAGATTCATAATAAACCTCAGGTTCAGCTCACCATTGGCCAGTGATGTTCAGCTGTTCAAGATCAACTTTAAATCATTAACAAGACTCTCATGCCTAACAAATCCATTCTGCTCAGCACCTGTATTCTTTCTATTATGAGAATATCGCTATCACTTATTTGATCTCAATCCAGGATGGAAGCTTTACCCACTTCCTTTATGCAGTACTACAATAATCCCATCAATACTTCTCTTAATATTTGAAGCCAGTGCAATGTCCCTTGTCTCCAGTAACAGTGCCAAGAGAATTCAAGATAATTTTCTCTCTACATTTTTTATTGGATGTTGAAAATGGGATGCATGTTAGTCACAGTAAGTAGCATTGTATTAGTCGAAAATATAGCTTAGAACGTTTTTATAGCGTTTTATAGCGTCTGAAGAGTCAAAAGTCCATATTGCATAATTTTACTGCTTAATCCATAATCCTTTACAATTCCACTCCAGCTTTATGTCATATCCTTTCCATCCCCAGAAGAGTCCTCATTAAGAGGAGGCTCTCTCTAGAGGCAGGTGGAGTGCTGGAGTTAGAAGAAAGTTTTATGGGAGGGTCTGGTAAGGGCAGAGGGATTATGATGATAGTGATAGGGATGGTGGAGGAGCCCTCTTGCCCCTCTTGTACGTGATCCCCTAGCCGTTGTTCCAGGCTACAGGTTCCCCGTCTCGGGTACAGGACTACGGGGCTACAACACCCAGCAACCCCCAGGAGCAGCAATCCTGACACTAACCTCACTAAAACCCAAACACACACCTGTCAAGGTAGGGGTATCAAGTCTGTGAGGTTATATCACACAAGCAAAGTGCTGCACTGTACAGGACTGTACAAAATGCAATCACAAAGAGCACTGGTATTGGGGATGTGTTGAGAATTCCCATTGAAAGATAAAGACATCAGACACTTAATTCACTTATAATCTTTACACATTAAGCATTTTCTAAATACTGTAGCCTATAACCCACTTCAGCAAGGTGAAAGGTCTTAAACAAAGGTAGAAGGTCTTAAATAAAGACATGGCACCTGCTATTTCTGTGAAAAGAGCAATAACTTGGATTGAGATGCCACGTGGGACTACCCAAAGCAGATTACAGGGATTGGTAAAGCACAAGGAGGCTCCAAGCAGGCTTGGGAGTTAATATCTGGATAGGGTACTGCGCTTCAATTACAAGAATCAGTAAGACTAATGTTCTGTCAGCTAAGCAGTGACTGAGGCACTGAAGTACTGTAAAACCTTGTTGGAAATGAAGTGATCATGCAAAAGCTTTGTTGAAGTATTCCACTTGCAGCTTCAGTGTAATATTAGAGTGTGCTTTGAACTATTTATCCTTCGGTTGATCATCCTAACACAATTGAAAGTTTTAACATAGTACAGTAATACATAATATAACATTGGAACATCATGAGGAAAATCTGATTTCTAATAGTAATGTTTTGATTTGACAGAAACAGGCAGGCATCTCACCGCCAGCTACACTGAAGGAGGTCAAGGTATAAGGAGTAGTTCCAGTTGCACGGGTGTGAGAAGAAAGACAGCCCAGCACACACTGTCACAGACATGTTTGAAAACTACCAAAGGATGTACACACACAAACATTTACAAACAGGAACAGATACAGTACATACACTGAAAAGCATGCTGCTTTCCCTTTACAAATGTGAAGGTGAGCACATGCACAAGTGAATAATTTGGGTGAACATGTAATTAATGTACACAATTGAAACTATGACATGGAGGAGGCCTCTCTGAGGAAGTCAGAGCCCAGGAATGTGCAGCTGAACGTACTAGAGGCCGGGGTATGGACACCCTGCTCTGGCTTTAGTTCCAGTGACCGCTATTTCTACTGCCTAACACAACAGGCTCCCCAGATCAACTCAAACCATGCAGAGAGGAACTCACTTGGAATTCACAGGTTCTCCCTCTCTAGCAAATTACTCTACAGAAGATAACTAGTTTGATTATCAAGCACAGCCAGAGGTATTTCAAGTTTAATGACCTGATGATTAATATTTAAGTGTCACTTTTTGAGAGTACACTGTGAATGGTTCATCTTTTCATTTTGTTTCTTTAGCTTTAAATGTCTCCAATCTAAATAATGTAAATGTTGATGTCTGTGCATTCCGATATGAGCAGTATTTAAACTGTGCTTTTTGTTTGCTGACATTTGACCAATACCTTACCGTAACCAAACTAAGTCTTTACATCGCTAAATCTATTAATGTAACTGTTCTATTTTTGGAATGTGTTAGTTAAAAGTAGACAACAGATTCAGTGGTTTTAGTTGAATGGCAGTCTGTTCAGAGGTCCAATCCAATCAAGCCAACTCACCTAGTGGCTTAACAGGATTTTGAGATCTGCCATATAGGATTACACAGAGATATTTGTGAGTACTGCTGATAATGGTGAATATTGTTGATACTGTGCCTCTGAGTAGGTCTCAGAAGGAATCAACCTGCTTTAACCACATTCTTAGAATAGAAGTCAGAAACTTTGGGACTATTGTATTTAATGCTCTGCATTGACTTGTTTAAGAGCCTTAAACGCTATGATAACAGAATGTGAGCACAAAATCATTAGCGTGGAGAGATAGACAATCCAATTGACTTGTAATTTTGCACAAGGTAGGCTAGTGTTGTATTTTGTATGTATGATTCTTCTGGCCTGTATATTTGTTACTGAGAAACCCCTTTCATGCCATACTTTATGTTAACAGTGAATATTTTAGAAGAAAATCCAGTGCAGTGTTTTATCTGCTTATTTGACTTGTGTTGTGGTTAGATGTGTTGTGGTTAGAAGTTGTCCAGTGAAGTTGTCCAAAGTGTTGTTTATCACTCCAATGACACAGTATATTTTTTGAAGGATCACTTTATATACAATACATCAAATGGTGATGTAGTTTTAAGTGCTTCTCATACTCAGTAATGAACAACATAATTATAGTTTTGTAAAACTGTTTGTAGATGTTGATTGGACAAATTGTCTCAGATAGTGTGAACAATTGTACATGGTGGTAATCTGGTGAACTAAAAGTAAAAAACATTGGGGAAAAAATGCTCTCTGTTATTTTATCAATGGATGTGTTATATCACACACACACAATCCAGTAACATACAGAAAGTTCACAGAAAGTGCACCATCACTGAGCAGTTTAGAAATCAAGACAAAAGGCCCAATGTTGAGATAACCCATTCAAGTACTGTACATGGCAGTCTCCCAAACTGTTCATTTACATAAAATAAGTCAAAATCCAGTCATAAACCCTACCACACATTAAACAAACCATTATTACAATACATAACATAAAATCATCACTGTACATTTATGTATCATTACTGTACTGTACATGATGAAACATTGATCGACAATCCCTGTTCAATTGTCAGTGCAAGAGTGAAACAGCTGTAGCCATAAACCATAGTATATTCTAGCACAGGTACAAATCACGTAGCACAGGTACAAATCACCTGCAAAATAAATTCCAGTTATTGTATACCCCCTCTTAAAAGTTTCGACCTATTGGACTTGTCTTTGTGTACACACAGTTTAGTAACTAGGCCACTCATTATTAAAGACAAGAAGCAGTAGACTGTCCCACAGCTCTCTCTATTGGTGGGCTAAATGGCACAATGCATGACAACAGTTTTCTGCAGCTTGGAATCAGTTCCGCTTCTTATGCCGTGCAGCCACCTCCTCCTGAGGCTCTGGACCACAATGGAACCCAATCAGCATTCCCACGATAGAGAAACCTGGAGAGGTGAGAGGATGCAATGGGGTTTCCTCTGCAATAACAGACACCAGCAGCACAAGCTCTGAGCAAATGATATCAGATGAAACATTTTGTTGAGCGATGCACATTCTGTACCTGGTAACACTGTGTTGTTCCTGGTTATAACAAAACAAGCTCACTATTTGATCAGATGGGATTATAGAGCTGCAGTACTTACTCGCCACAATGAGAGGTGCCATAACGCCAATGGTCAGAGGTGCCGTTTTGTAGATGAAGGCTTCAGACAGGAAGTGTCCCAGAGCCAGTACAAATGTCCACAGGGTGATGTGATAGAGCCTGCAGGAAGAGGAGAAAGATAACTATTTAGGATAACTCCCACAGAACATGAATCAGCTAATACACTCAATGCTGCATGAACAGACACAACAGTGCAGGGATGTAGGAAATCTTACGTTTTGTTCTGAATGTCAATGGCGCACGTGCAGCGGATAATTGACGACAACAATGTCCAGATTCCAAATGTTCTTGCTTGGAGGCCATTTACTGTAAAAAGGAAGCAACACCTAAATTAAGTTCTATGAATTCCTTGCACCATGGAGGAGACAGAGCATACTGCTACTGTGAAGCTCCTGTGATGTAGACAAATCAATGTGTAACCCACATTCTTATACACAGGCATAATGACAAAATCCTACAGGATATTTGTAGGATTGTATGGATAGACTCTACAGTACCCCAATCATAGAGACTAACTGCTTTTGCGCCTATTGACGGTAGTATCTTCTGCTCGGGGGAGTTTTGTTAAGAGCCCTGACGCTCATTCTGAACGTTTAAAATGCATCAGTTTTGTTAACATAAGGAACCTATCTTTCACATCAGCAATATATAATTTTCAAAAAACAAAAGGCTAAATTACAACACACCTTAGTAGAGTTAGTGTTCCCACACAGCCATATCTTGATGTTACAGTGCTTGTTTACGGAAGACAGACGGAAGACATAGGCAGCCACCTGTGCTAATTAGCTATCTAACGTGCCCCGAACACCTATGTGTAAGCGTAACTGAGGAGGAAGTGTAGTTCGTCAACTGGAGACACACACAGCGTATGGATATGTGCAAAACTGCTACAGTCAGTGTGTATTTTTTTATTTGAAATATTATTTCTCGCTGATATAAAAGATAAGGGCCATATGTTTAGAAAGCAATGATTATTGACATTTATAAACGTTAAAACACCGCAACAGAATTGTAGTTCACACGCAGCCAACCGTGTGCAAAGCTAACCTCTGAAAACCCTATAAAAAGGGTGTTCAAGAGCTAGACTCTACAGCAGCAGATGGAAACCTTACCCTGCGAGGGCCGTGTGGGTGCAGGCTTTTGCTCCAGTCAAACAGAAACACCTGATACATCAAATCATAATTCAGTGAAGGAATTGATTAAAGGAAACAAATCAGGTTGCTGCTTGGCTAGGGCAAAAGCCTGCACCCACCCCGCCCTCGCAGGGTAAGGTGTCCATCTGCATGGCCTGCTTTAGAGAGAGCATTCCAATAATGTGTAGAAACTACTCACCAAACTCTGGTGTCCCCGTGTAGAGCTTCTCAGAGAGGAAGCTGTGATCGCTGAAGCTCTGGACTGTGTTTCCCATGGCAATGACAGACACCATTACCAACCAACTCCGCAGAACATTTAGAAAACGACTCATCCTTGCCTTCTGTAGGAAGCACCTGCCAGACAAGTTGGCTGAGAATGACGGACAGACAGCATAGCAGTGTGCAAAAGCTATGAAGAAAAGAACAGCTTCATTTTGCTGGCTACAGCTCGGATCAATGAATGCTACCCGTCAGGTTGCAAGAACCACCATGATCAAAGGATAGCTACTGTAGCTAGCTAGTTGGCAACAACAACAACCATCGCTAGCTCGATAATAACCATGTAATGCATGTGTCTAACTTACCTTCTAAAGTGTAGTTTATAGCTGGGGCATATCCAGATACGACAGTGATCAGCGAGTCGAAATCAATAGGTATACAATGTCAACATGTCTGTGAAAACATCGCTAATGTTTTTGAGATTGAGTATACTCAATCTTGCTAGCTACTGTCATTCAATAATTAGCTGATATGGACATTCAATTCGGCCAATTAGAGAGCTCAAAAGATGGCTTTGTCAAATTGTCCTTGGCAGCAGTTAATGGTGATCCATAATACATTCAAATACAAATCTCTGTTAACGTAGCTAGTTTTAGGCTCCACCTTATTTCGCTCGTTCGTCTTCTTCTTCTTCTATGATATCATGGCGCGCAAACAAACGTTTGAAGTGCATGCCGCCACCTACTGTGCTTGAATGTACGATCAATTCTGTACTACAATGAAAATGAAATTAAAAACCAAATAAATCCCTAACTTCTACCACACCCTCCCCAAAAATCCTCCCCAACCCCATTAAACTTGATCTATATCATGCTGAAACACTCCACCCTTAGGATTGTTCAGCATGTCAACAATAATTTCAACAGTATCATCTGTTACCCCCAATATCTATTTTGCCGTTTCCACAATAACCTTCAACCTGGCATTTCTGTTTTCCACAACCCGAGTCGTATTGATAACCTTACCAATAAAAGCTATAAAGTCAACTTTATTCATTATCAAAGTGTCCTTTGACACTGCACATTCATGAGCACAAGATTTCTGAACAGGCCTATAAACCATGCCAGGACCATCAGAAGCACCAGCCCTGACAGTAGGTCCACTTACTACAGGTACATCCATGTAAGCTCCATCAGTCCGCACTGTAGTTCTACCAATCTGTCTTACTGCCTCTGCATATGATACAGCAGGGCTGATCCTATATCTCTGAGCCTCTCTAGCCTCTCTCTGTTCCTGGCATCCATCAAATGTTGCACTATGTTCTCCCCCACAATTACAGCACTTAACCTTCACATTGCTTCCACATTCACCGTAATCATGTTCCCCTCCACACTTGGCACATCTTTTCTTTCCTTTACACTGAGCAGCTACATGTCCCATTCTTTGGCATTTTAAACACTGCAGTGCATATGGGACAAATTCTCTAACATTGAAACTAAGGAATCCTAGCTGTACTTTTCCCGGCAAGACTTTCTCAAACCTCAGCATCACTGATAAGCTTTCACTTCTTTGACCCTCTTTCCTACTGATCAACCTTTTGGCCTCAATCACTCTGCCTCCCTTTACATTTTCTTTAATATCATCTGTGGACATAGATATTGGGACCCCAACCTAGCATAAGCACCAGGTACATGGCTTTTAATCTTCTTCCCATTAAGCTTTTACATTTGCAGAATCTTCCCTTGCTGAGCCTGGCTACCACAAAATATTAGCAATCTACATTTCCAATTAACCGGGCAAGTTTAACGCCACCTATCTCTTTCTCTACATCATTAGTTAGTCGGGTAGGGTGTAAATGAGGCCCTATGGTCTCATCAAACATCATCACAACTTTCCACGCCGACACATTATTACTCTTGCTTCCTACCGTGACCCTCTTTTTGCTTTCTACACTAGACGCTCCACTGCTTTCAGTATCATGATCTCTCTTCTTCCTATGTCTTTCCACTACAGACCATTCAGATCCTTGACCCTCATCCTCCGCCCCATATCATCAGAACGGTCACCCATATTGATCGCACTCCAGCACAGCTATTGCTTCTCCAACCTTCTCTCCATTTCTTCCATTTCTTTCGCTCATTCCACCAATCATTCCAACCCAAACCACAGTTGCGACTGTGGACGAGCTCGATTTAGCTCTCCTGGTGCTCCGGCCCCGAATACACCGAGACTTCACTTAATTTATTCCAGTGAGTGGCTGGTGACTAAAACATACATATATACCTACTATAAAAACACCATACATATGGATACGTTATCAATTGTTTTAATACTATGATAGACAATATAATTAGGCCTATATATGAATATTTCATAGCATTCATTCAATGTGTGAAATTATCTGACCATATGCACCAATTCAGTACAGTAACTTGAAAACATTGGAATGCACATGCATATGTGTTTTTTTTTCCCTCAATAAAAACTTTGCAAATTCTTATTTTATGATGCAGATTTGGATTTATAGAAATCCATCACAAATGGGAGTTGAATTCCAAATCACCCCCTTCCCCTCCGGCCCTCCATTTGCGCGTTTACGCGTACCTCCGCCATTTGCAAAAGTGTCCCAAAACTGAGGGAGTGAACATTATCGAGGGTGTAGGGGATAATTAGACCCTCAAAAAGTCACTTCGACCGACCCAGCAAGGCTGCAGGCGTCAAAGCGAAGTGCTATCTCGACATGCGCTGTCTGCAATATGCTTGGAGTTTTCGCAATTTCATACAGAAGAGGCGTGCCTAATTATATGCCACGTGCATTTGTTTATGTCTGATTTCGAGACGCATGTAACAGATGAAATACCTCCCAAATTAAATGTTTAACTGTTACTGAGGTTTATATCTTGTAAAACTACAGGGGGGATTTGTTAATTAGAATTTCATGCGCGTTTTATTCTTAAAAAGTGGAACATGAATTGCATCATTCATGTCAGGAGTGTGTCCAGAAGTTGATGGGTTTATTAATCTCATCGCCATTCTCTGGAGGTCAGTCACCCAATGAGTTTCGTCAGCAACATGTGACAACAGAGGGCCCTCGGAGCGAGTTGGTAGCCGTTCTTATTATACTAGTGGTTGGTTAGGGGCTAGGGTGTGGTTTGGGATCAGTGATTGGGATTCACAGTGTAAATTGTGGGGTCAAAAACGTCATGTGCTTGAGGACAGTGCACAAACTGCACATGCTCTCCATTGTTTGCCAGTCAGTTGTTGTAGTTACAAAAAGGCTACAGGAAGAATTGTAATGAACCCAATCAGATAGCTACTGTAACTGTGGTTCTTCGATTACATAAGTTTATCCTATGCTGGGAAGAGTTGGGTATGTTTATATGATAGTTTTACGGCTGTCATGATTTATAACCTGAATGTTCGTTTGCTCTCTCAATGAAAGACATAGTTTGCATTACAAACCACAGTAAAGCTAACTAACGTTAGCTAACGTGCCAACCTGGTTAACACCTTCTGCAACATCTACTTATCTGGCTGGTATCATGAGCTAGCAAAATACCTAGCTAGCTATGTAACATAGCAGCACACAAAATATATTTCATTTTCAGGGCATGGTGTGAGCTACTATGATTATGTTTGTTGCTGGGCAGTGCTGAAATGGACAGAATCATAATTTATGCATGAACCTTATTTATATAATATTGCTCCTCTCATTTGCAGACAATGTATTCTTCAGTATTAATAATATGCTGTGTTTTAACTGGACTGATATTTCAACAGTAGACGGTGGGAACTGGAGATGACCACAGTCATAACCCCAGATAAATACCTGACTCAAAGCAGATTTCATCAGGAGGTACTCCTCTGTGGAGTTGGGAGAACCTTCCAGAAGGAAAACCATCTCTGCAGCACTCCACCAATCAGGCCTTTATGTTAGAGTGGCCAGACAGAAGCCACTCCTCAATAAAAGGCACATGACAGAAAGGACTCTCAGACCATGAGAAACAAGATTCTCTGGTCTCATGTAACCAAGATTGAACTCTTTGGCCTGAATGCAAGCGTCACGTCTGGAGGAAACCTGGCACCATCCCTACGGTGAAGCATGGTGGTGACAGCATCATGTTGTGGGGATGTTTTTCAGCGGCAGGGACTGGGAAACTAGTCAGGATCGAGGGAAAGATGATCGAAGCAAAGTACAGAGAGATCCTTGATGAAAACCTGCTCCAGAGCGCTCAGGACCTCAGACTGGGGCGAAGGTTCACCTTCCAACAGGACAACGACCCTAAGCACACAGCCAAGACAACACAGGAGTGGCTTCGGGACAAGTCTCTGAATGGCCTTGAGTGGCCCAGCCAGAGCCCGGACTTGAACCCGATCGAGCATCTCTGGAGAGACCTGAAAATAGCTGTGCAGCGACGCTCTCCATCGAACCTGACAGAGCTTGAAAGGATCTGCAGAGAAGAATGTGAGAAACTACCCAAATACAGGTATGCCAAGCTTGTACCGTCATACCCAAGAAGACTCAAGGCTGTAATCGCTGCCAAAGGTTCTTCAACAAAGTACTGAGGAAAGGGTCTGAATACTTATGTAAATGTGATATTTCAGTTTTTTTATTTTTTTATGAAACATTTGCAAACATTTCTAAAAACCTGTTTTTGCTTTGTCATTATTGTGTGTAGATTGATGAGGGGGAAAAACAATTTAATCCATTTTAGAATAAGGCTGTAACGTAACAAAATGTGGAAAAAGTCAAGGGGTCTTAATACTTTCCGAATGCACTGTACAGGGCTGCCCGCTGGGCCGGGGAGGTTTTGGAAACCCTCTGGGCCAGTCAATCATCCAGTGAAGAAAAATATTGTAATAATGCTATTTTCAATCTAGGCTATATCATTGATGAAAAACCAACACATTTCCAAAGCTGTTAGTTCGTAATGTAGATTATTGATCACACGTGCGATTTGTATTAATCGGGTGGGCAACAACTCTGCCATCACATATATACACTGTACATTGTAGAGTAGGCTACAGAAACACTGCTTGTCAAACGCAATGTTCTCTTGCTAGGTGCGAAATTGAATTAAAGGGCAACTACACCCATTGAAAAAAAAGTATTTTTATTTTTCCCAGACCTCAAAAGTGGTCTCCTGATGTGATTTAAGCATTGTTGTGGACTTAGAACATACAATTTTGACATTTTATATTTAATAAAAGTGTGAAAACAAAACCTGGAATATGTAATTTGGCAAAAAAAAATGTAAGCTAAAACTAAACGGTTTTGATAGGGCCCTACAACTGTTGCCTTCTGACTGTTCAGAATCGATAACAATAACACCCTTTTTGAGATTGCATGAAGGTTTTAGTTTTTCCCTCCTGTTAGAGACTAACACTCCAAAGAATCAATGTAAATATGATATTGTCAAGTTAAAGTTAGGCTATTTGCTCAGCCCGCAAATGAAAGATAAAATCACATGCTATTGAAATTATGCCATGGAGCTTTCATTTGGCACAGTGTGCCACTGGCAAATTTACTTGAATATCAAGCTCTGTAATCCATATGTTTATTACAGATCCATTACCATAGCTTGCAAGATCTTTAACAAGCCTGAGTATGATTCCTAGAGCCCAGTATTACTAGACTAGTGCTTGTGCTGGCCACTGGCTTGTGTTGAGTGACTATTGAATATACTCTGGAACTATAGATATCAAATCAAATTGTATTGGTCACATACACGTGTTTACGCTGATGTTATTGCGGGTGTAGCGAAATGCTTGTGCTTCTAGATCCGACAGTGCAGTAATATCTAACAAGTAATATCTAACAATTTCACAACATATACCCAATACACACAAATCTAAGTGATGGGAGCTTTGTTTTGGCTGACATTTCTGGATACCTGAGCCAGGAGCAGGTATTGTTTACCTGCCTCCCTACCATACCCAACCTTATCCAGAATGGTCACGTCTGATAGAGTTCTTCTCCATCAGCATGCCATCTTATCTCCACCATGGCCACAGACATGCTGGCTGTGTCTGGTACTATCATATATTTTCAGTGCAATGTTACCAGGGTGTTTGTTAGTTGACAGGTATGTTATTGTGCACTAACTATGAGACTGTGTGTGGCCCTGACCTTTCTCTGATCTGCTGGAGTAAACACTTTGTCAGATTGCATTCCACCACCCTGAGGTAAACTAAGGGTAGCGTCATCCTGGACTTTAAATTCAACATTAAGAGACAGGTTTTACAGCTTTAGGTTAAGGGTACAGATGTAGGAGCTTAATTTGAGCCAGTTTGCTACAGCAGGAAAATAATCCTGCAGCATCAGGAAATGTGAATTATTATGTGGATTTTAATGAATGGATTTTTTTGTAGGGGTTGATACATTTTTCGTTGGGGCAAATCAAGTCGGATATTTTAAAGTGGAAATTACAAACTTTAGAACCTTTTTAAACCTTGAATGCACTACCAGTTTGTGTTCCTGCCGTGGAGGAAAATTCTCAGCAACAAAAGAGTGATCAAATTAAGATTATACATCTGTATGCCCTGTCTGAGAGGCTTTTCTCTTCTTTTATTGGATTTATATGGCTGTTTTGTCACCCATTTATGTTATTTTTGGGCTTTGGCTCTATGAGATTGAGTGAAAATAGTATAAAATACTATTGTGTTGCTTGACCCTGCATGAGCCTCTCAATGTAAGAATAAGAATAATACTTTATTGATACATTTCTCTCTCTCATCAGAGACCATCCTTGCATTGCCTGGAGTGGCCTCAGCAGGAATGGTGTTCTTTGCTGAAGCCATCGTCTCTAAAGATGGAACATCTGTTCTGTTGGAGGTACTGGGGTCCATAAGAAACATTCTAAAGATATATGAGAGTATAGAATTCTGTTGTTATTCTGTCCTATTCCTTGATTCCTGTTGAATGATAATGTTATGTTCCTATTTTGTCTTTAGAACAGTACAATCTGGCCTTCAAGATTGTGCACACGGCGAGCCGGCTGGTGCGTGGCATGCTGACCAATCATGGATTCCATGAGGTATTACATGAAATGTTCAAAGAATGTCTCATTCTGATTCACTAGCACATATTGTGCTGTAAGGGGATAAGAGGGCTGCTGTTTTTTCCTGACTGACACTGTCTATGTCAAAGCATGGGAATGCACCCACGGACAAAAGGTTGGCCCACCATAGGGTTAATCCTGTTTCACAAGGGAGCACACTCCCTATTATCGCTCCATCCAAGCACTTACTATTAAGTCAATTTATATTTCACTTCAATGCCTCGTCTCCCACTAAACCCATCATCAAAGGCAGGCTAGTGTCTGCCACATCATCCCTAGAGCCAAAGTTTAATAACCCTCTATTGCAAACATCTGGCTTTCTCATAGCAGTAAGTGCAGGCCCATGCCAAACCTGACTCTTCACAAAGGAGCGCAGAAGGGTAGGAATAAAACAAAACAGATATAAAGTAATATGATGGTGATGAAAATAGCTGGTGAGCTGGCCTCCCTTTGAGATGATTTGAAGTTAGAGGCCTATATTTCAGCAGATTAGTGGCTAAGTATCGGATCTGAGCTTCAGATCCATCCTTATCAAGCTGTCAGATGTGATGTGGTGGTTATCAACTGTGTAAACCTCATGTTTGCACCAAGGCTATATTTGATGATGTCCTTTAATTTCCCCTGCCATTGCATAGTGTGGTCTTACTGTAAGTAGTGCCTGTAAATAATCTTGACGTACATAACGTTTAGATCTGAGCTTGACTGGAAGGTCTTATTTTCAGATCCATCCAAACAGTAATGACTTCAACCTCATGTGGACGGGGTCTCGCCTCAAGCCTTACCTCCTATGTAGCCTTCACGACTTCCAGAAGGTCAACCACTTCCCTAGGTACCACAGTGTGTCCAACTGTACATAGACATACGTCCCATTGGCTTGCTACGCTTCCTGATATAAAAGTTCACACTGCTTAGCAGTTTAAGCCCCTTCAAATCAGGCTTGTGTTTATTGGCTTCCACAGTAAAGTACATTTTGTTTGGACCAGTGCCTTTCTAAAACATGAAATGAATCAAACTGTCATGCAGTAGTCTTGTTGCATTGTGTTTGTACAAGCTCTTATTTCTCTCAGCGTCCAAGCTGTGGAGAACTCAAGCATTTCGAGCTGAAAGGTCAATGGCCCTGTTCATTTCTAGGTCATATGAACTGATGCGCAAAGACCTGCTGTATAAAAACATCCAGCGGATGCAGCAGGCTCACGGCGTTAAAAACGTCCACATCGTCCCTCAGACCTTTGTGCTTCCCTCAGAGTACCAGGTGTTCTGCAGTAAGTCCTGCTTGTCTGTTAACTTACTTACTGTAAATGTAAACACAATAAGCCACCATGATTCTCCGCTAGTCTTTCTCACAGCACGCCACACTTCCCCATCCTCTCTCTGCCTCACCCCTAGGTTATTTCATCAAGGACAAGGGCCCTTGGATCATTAAGGCAGTAGCATCTTCAAGAGGACGAGGGATCTACTTGGTCAGCAATGTAAGGGATACGCCATAGGAAGAACACTGTACTGTGAAAGTGTTACTGTGTTATATATACGCTCACCTTAAGTCTGGGATAATGACCTGAGCGAACTTGTGTTGTAAATGAAACAATATGGCCAGTTACTTGTGTGGGGGATTCTGTTGAAAAAGAAAGTATAAAACAGTGTGTGTCATAGACATTAAGCATTGTTGAGTAAATCACACACTTCAAGGCATTGGCTTTGGAAGAGCTCCACAAGGTTCTCTGACTTGGACAACCAATAAACACTTTTCTTTTGAGGTATTTTTATGAAACTGGAAAGAATGTCAGGGTGATATTTGGAAAGAAGGATGTTCATTTTGGGGGTTTTCTCTGAACTGTAGCCAGCCCTAAGGTTAGTAGCTCTCCACCTCCCCCACCCCCCATCCCTCCTCGGCTTCAACACCTGCAACACATTTTAGCCTCATAAATGACCCCACTCCTACCCACCGATAGGGCTCTGATAGACTGCTCTACAGGAAGGGTTTTCTCCTTGAATGGCCAATGTCATGTGTCTGACTTGATCATACTTTACCTGGTGCATTATATGTGTTATATAATGATTGCCGTGTTATTTAGCCTAACATATTTGATCCTCATCCTACAAAGCCCAACCAGATTCCAATGGATGAGAACATCTTAGTGTCTCGCTATATCAATAACCTGTTACTGATTGACGGTGAGTTTTTGCCCATCAAGTGTTGACAAATCGGTTACTTATGTAGATGAAGACAGTAGTCAGAAAAGCAGTAATTTGTATCTATGTTTTATAAATTGTTTCCAGACTTCAAGTTTGATGTGCGGTTGTATGTGCTGGTGACATCGTATGATCCACTCACTATCTATCTCTATGAGGAGGGCCTAGCCAGGTGAGCTGTGTACTGGATCTTTCCTTTTACAAATAATGGCCAATGGTTCTATATGGGCTATCTAATCTGTATTTGCCAGGTCATAGAAGTGTATATTGGGTCAAGAGGTCCATCTTGGATAGTGGCTTTGCGATTAGTTTCTGTCCTCATGAATGTAGTGAAGAAAAGTAGCAACTGTATCTGGAATTTACAAGGCAATGACCAGTAGAGGGCAGTCTCAATGTTTCTGTCTGCCACTGATGAGTAGTATGACTTGGCGACGCTTTCAAACAAAGCTCTCCATTGTCTCAACGGTCAAAATGGTCACCAGGAGATGACAGGTTTATTAGACATTGTAATGATATTTTGCTGTAATAATCTCAGATATATAAATCTGCAGTGACAGACTACAAATGATAGTGTCTCAGCGGCAATGCTATTTGCAAGATGAGCAATGTTTAGTTATTTTCTTATCATATTAGATCAATGAAGGCATTGCAAATTATATAATTTAGCTGTATCTTTGCCTGGAGCCATCTGTATTACTGTATTCATAGGGATTAATCATTAAGATAGTCAGGATTCAGGTGGGTTGGGGGCAGAGATGGGTGGATGATGGATTAAATGGCTCATCTCTGCTAGGCTAGACAGATATATGTGTTGCACAGAGTGACACACACTGCCGTTCTTCGCACACTGTGCTTGATTATTAACTGAGGGTAATAAATCCAGGCTGAATTGCAAATACCACTTTTCTCTTTGACATTCCATTGTTTGATGGTATTCAGGTACTCACTGTATGCCAAGGAATCCTCATTATTCCACATGTGGTGTCCAATCCTCTTTAATACAGTACAATAGGGGAAACATATCTCTGTTCTACTAATTGACCCTCTAAGGCTGTCAAAGATCATTCATATTAATTGCTTTATTTATTGTAAGTAATAGTAACTCTGTGTAGAGATCTGTTGTTAGTTTTGTTTTTGGAAATTGTATATTTAAGTAACACTGCCTACAGGTTGGTCACATACACGTGTCTAGCAGATGTTATTGCGGGTGTAGCGAAATGCTTGTGTTTCTAGCTCCGACAGTGCAGTAATATCTAACAAGTAATATCTAAGAATTTCATAACATATACCCAATACACACAAATCTAAGTAAAGCAGTGGAATTAAGAATATATAAATAAATATATGGACGAGCAATGTCAGAGCGGCACAGACTAAGATACAGTAGAATAGTATAAAATACAGTATATACATATGAGATAAGTAATGCAAGATATGTAAACATTATTAAAGTGACTAGTGTTCCATTTATAAAGTGGCCAGTGATTTCTAATCTATGTATATAGGCAGCAGCCTCTAATGTGCTAGTGAAGGCTATTTAACAGGCTGATGGCCTTGAGATAGAAGCTGTTTTTCAGTCTCTCGGTCACAGCTTTGATGCACCTGTACTGACCTCGCCTTCTGGATGATAGCGGGGTGAACAGGCAGTGGCTCAGGTGGTTGTTGTCCTTGATTATCTTTTTGGCCTTCCTGTGACATCGGGTGCTGTAGGTGTCCTGGAGGGCTGGTAGTTTGCCCCCGGTGATGTGTTGGGCAGACCGCACCACCCTCTGGAGAGCCCTGCGGTTGCGGGCGGTGCGGTGCATTTGCCGTACCAGGCGGTGATACAGCCCGACAGGATGCTCTCAATTGTACATCTGTTAAAGTTTGTGAGGGTTTTAGGTGCCAAGACAAATTTCTTCAGCCTCCTGAGGTTGAAGAGGCGTCGAGGTCCCGTTGATGTGGATAGGGGGGTGCACCCTATGCTGTTTCCTGAAGTCCACGATCATCTCCTTTGTTTTGTTGACGTTGACTGAGAGGTTATTTTCTTGGCACCACACTCCCAGAGCCCTCACCTCCTCCCTGTAGGCTGTCTCGTCATTGTTGGTAATTAAGTCTACTACTGTTGTGTCGTCTGCATACTTGATGATTGAGTTGGAGGCGTGCTTGGCCACGCAGTCATGGGTGAACAGGGAGTACAGGAGGGGGCTGAGCACGCACACTTGTGGGGCCCCAGTGTTGAGGATCAGCGAAGTGGAGGTGTTGTTTCCTACCTTCACCACCTGGGGGCGGCCCGTAAGGAAGTCCAGGACCCAGTTGCACAGGGCTGGGTTCAGACAAAGGGCCTCGAGCTTAATGATGAGCTTGGAGGGTACTATGGTGTTGAATGCTGAGCTATAGTCAATGAACAGCATTCTTACATAGAGTTGAAGTCAGAAGTTTACATACACTTAGGTTGGAGTCTTTAAAACTCGTTTTTCAACCACTCCACAAATGTCTCGTTAACAAACTACAGTTTTGGCAAGTCGGTTAGGACATCTACTTTGAGCATGACACAAGTAATTTTTCCAACATTTGTTTACAGACAGAGTATTTCACTTATAATTCACTGTATCACAATTCCAGTGGGTCAGAAGTTTACATACACTAAGTTGACTGTGCCTTTAAACAGCTTTGAAAATTCCAGAAAATGATATCATGGCTTTAGAAGCTTCTGATAGGGTAATTGACATCATTTGAGTCAATTGGAGGTGTACCTGTGGATGTATTTCAAGGCCTACCTTCAAACTCAGTGCCTCTTTGCTTGACATCATGGGAAAATCAAAAGAAATCAGCCAAGGCCTCAGAAAATAAATTGTAGACCTCCACAAGTCTGTTTCATCCTTGGGAGCAATTTCCAAACACCTGAAGGTACCACGTTCATCTGTACAAACAATAGTACGCAAGTATAAACACCATGGGACCACGCAGCCGTCATACTGCTCAGGAAGGAGACACTTTCTGTCTCCTAGAGATGAACGTACTTTGGTGCGAAAAGTGCAAATCAATCCCAGAACAACAGCAAAGGACCTTGTGAAGATGCTGGATGAAACCGGTACAAAAGTCTCTATATCCACAGTAAAACTAGTCCTATATCGACATAACCTGAAAGGCCGCTCAGCAAGGAAGAAGCCACTGCTCCAAAACCGCCATAAAAAAGCCAGACTACGGTTTGCAACTGCACATGGGGACAAAGATCGTACTTTTTGGAGAAATGTCCTCTGGTCTGATGAAACAAAAATACAACTGTTTGGCCATAATGACCATCTTTATGTTTGGAGGCAAAAGGGGGTAGCTTGCAAGCCGAAGAACACCGTCCCAACCGTGAAGCACGGGGGTGGCAGCATCATGCTGTGGGGGTGCTTTGGTGCAGGACGGACTGGTGCACTTCACAAAATAGATGGCATCATGAGGAAGGAAAATTATGTGGATATATTGAAGCAACATCTCAAGACATCAGTCAGGAAGTTAAAGCTTGGTCGCAAATGGGTCTTCCAAATGGACAATGACCCCAAGCATACTTCCAAAGTTGTGGCAAAATAGCTTAAGGACAACAAAGTCAAGGTATTGGAGTGGCCATCACAAAGCCCTGACCTCAATCCTGTAGAAAATGTGTTGGCAGAACTGAAAAAGCGTGTGCGAACAAGGAGGCCTACAAACCTGACTCAGTTACACCAGCTCTGTCAGGAGGAATGGGCCAACATTCACCCAACTTATTGTGGGAAGCTTGTGGAAGGCTACACTAATTCAGTTAGTGATACACTTTTGTCTAACTGGCGACCGTTGAAATCGAACCAAAACCTGGAGTCAAAACCATGCTCAATTATCAAACTGACATTCTCACTTCCTCAATCAACCTGATCCTACGCTAAAAAGGGCTATTGTACTGCGCAATGCAGCCCGGCACTGCGGACTGAGTAAGTATGGCTGAGTTGCAGGATACTCTCGACTCAGGCAGAGTTAGCTACTTGCCAGATGGCATGGCACCGGGCCCAGTGTATGGATTGCATCGTCTGAGACTATTTCGGGGCGGTAACAATTAAGGGTATGTGCAATAATTAGAGGTGTATGTAATCTCTGACCCTAAAGGAATCATGATGAAAAGTAAAAGCTGAAATGGGAATATTTCTTAAATTCTCTCTATTGACATTTCTTTGTAAACAATGGTGACCAACTGCCTAAAACAGGGGACAGTAGACTGGAAATGTGAGAAGATTGATATGCAAACTAGCAAACTGGTTTGGCTAAGGTGTATGTAAACTTCCGACTTCAACTGTAGGTATTCTTCTTGTCCAGATGGGATAGGGCAGTGTGCAGTGTGATGGCGATTGCATCGTCTGTGGATTTATTGGGGCGGTAAGCAAATTGAAGTGGGTTTAGGGTGGCAGGTAAGTTAGAGGTGATATGATCCTTGACTAGTCTCTTAAAGCACTTCATGATGACAGAAGTGAGTGCTACTGGGCGATAGTCATTTAGTTCAGTTACCTTTGCTTTCTTGGGTACAGGGACAATGGTGGCCATCTTGAAGCATGTGGGGACAGCAGACTGGGATAGGGAGAGATTGAATATGTCCGTAAACACACCAGCCAGCTGGTCTGCGCATGCTCTGAGGACTTGGCTAGGGATGCCATCTGGGCCGGCAGCCTTGCGAGGGTTAACATGCTTAAATGTCTTACTCACGTCAGCCACGGAAAAGGAGAGCCCACAGTCCTTGGTAGCGGGCCGCATCGGCGGCACTGTATTATCCTCAAAGCGAGCGAAGAAGGTGTTTAGCTTGTCCGGAAGCAAGACGTCGGTGTCTGCGACGTGGCTGGTTTTCCTTTTGTAGTCCGTGATTGTCTGTAGACCCTATCACATACGTCTTGTGTCTGAGCCGTTGAATTGCGACTCCACTTTGTCCCTATACTGATGTTTTGCCTGTTGCGGTGGTTCGCACTTTCAATTTTGCGCAAATGCTGCCATCTATCCACGGTTTCTGGTTAGGGTAGGTTTTAATAGTCACAGTGTGTACAACATCTCCTATACACTTCCTGATTAACTCAGTCACCGTATCAGTATATACGTTGATATTATTCTCTGAAGCTACGCAGAACATCTCCCAGTCCGCGTGATCAAACCAATCTTGAAGCGTGGATTCTGATTGGTCAGACCAGCGTTGAATAGTCTTTAGCACGGGTACTTCCTGTTTGAGTTTCTGTCTATAGGAAGAGTGGAGCAAAATGGAGTCGTGGTCAGATTTGCTGAAAGGAGGGCCTTGTATGCATCCTGGAAGTTGGAGTAGCAGTGGTCGAGGGTTTTAGCAGCGCAAGTACTACAGTCGATGTGTTGATAGAACTTCGGCAACCTTCTCCTCAAATTTGCTTTGTTAAAATCCCCAGCTACAATAAATGCAGCCTCAGGAAATGTGGTTTCCAGTTTGCATAGAGTCCAGTGAAGTTCTTTGAGGGCCGTTGTGGTATCGGCTTGAGGGGGGATATACACGGCCGGGACTATAACCGAAGAAAATTATCTTGGGAGATAATACGGTCGGCATTTGTGTGTGAGGTATTCTAGGTCGGGTGAACAAAAGGACTTGAGTTCCTGTATGTTATCACAATTACACCATGAGTCGTTAATCATAAAACATACACCTCCGCCCTCTGCTTCCCAGAGAGATATTTATTTTTGTCTGCGCGATGAACTGAGAACCCAACTGGCTGGACCGTGTTGGACGGTATATCCTGAGAGAGCCATGTTTCCGTGAAACAGAGTATGTTACAATCCCTGATGTCTCTCTGGAAATTAACCCTCGCCCTGAGCTCGTCAACTTTATTATCCAGAGACTGAACATTAGCGAGTAATATACTCGGAAGCGGTGGGTGGTGTGCACGCCTCCTAAGTCGGACTAGAAGGCCGCTCCGAGTTCCTCTCCTCCGGCGTTGTTTTGGGTCGGCCTCTGGAATCAGTTCAATTGCCCTGGGGGGTGCGAACAAAGGAAAGTCAGTCTTAATGCTGGTAGTGCTGGTGAGTTACTGCCGCTCTGATATCCAATAGTTCTTCCCGGCTGTATGTAATAACACAAACCATTTTCTGGGCTAATAACGTAATAAATAATACATAAAAAAACAAAATACTGCAAAGTTTCCTAAGAGCTAGAAGCAAGGCAGCCCTCTCTGTCGGCGTCATTTTAACTTGGCTGCTCTCACTTACTACAGCGTGAACAAGAAGAGCAGCGACTATCTCAGGTAACCTGGGATCTGCAGTCAACAGTCACTTCTTTATTCTCCTTCAGGAATCTCTAAATTAATATGTAGCTAATTGAGGGGGCATGGAATTTGGGAAAACATAGCAAATCATACACCTTTGTGCCTTGGGCATTTGAATGGTATGTATTAGATAATAGACTCCCGCTTCATTCAAAAGCCTGTTTTGGAAAAAGCCATGTCTTGTTCCTTTTCAGTTGCAATGACCCTGAAGTGGAGGATTACGGGAACAAATGGAGCATGAGTGTAATGCTCCGGTATTTGAAGCAGGAGGGAAAGGACACCACATGTGAGTAGCCTAAACTCTTCACTCTCTTTTGAACCTTCCTCCCCCTCCACCCTCTCCTGGCTCAGAACGTCCATGCTATTGTCCATGCACAGTCAAATAAATTAGTCTGTATTGTCAAGATGTTGCTGTAGTTGAACCGGATTCAATCTTACACCCAGATCCCCACCCTTCTCTTCTCTGTCTAAATACTCAGCAGAGCAGAATCTACATGGCAACCTGTAACCACAGATTGTATCCCAGATGTTGTGATATTGTAAGCACTTTGTGTCTAGTGTAAAGTTCTTTAGGGTCCTGTGTGTAAAGTGGACATAGTAACCCATGCCATGTCTCAGACTGTGTCACCCTGCTGTCTGTGTCTCTGTGTGTTCCAGTGCTGATGAGTCAGGTGGAGGACCTGGTGATCAAGGCTGTTCCGAGTGCTGAGCTGCAGATAGCCACTGCCTGCAAAATGTTTGTGCCCCATAGTAACAACTGCTTCGGGAAGACTGTCTGCCACATTCTAGTCTGTTTCCCTGGCTGTACCTTTCTTGTACTCTCTACGTCTTTGAATTCCATACCGTACATTTTTAGTTCTTTCCTCCTTCATGTGTTCAGTGCAGACTACAGATAGTCCTTCCCAAACCGTCCAGTTTCTGTGTCGGACGGTTTTGGAGTGGCTTTTGACTGAAGCAGGAATTTGCTTCATTTTTTCTGTTGCCATTCAGGTCTGACTGATTTAGGCTGACTGTTTTCTTGGCTGCTCCTGTGTAGCACCAGGCTCGTGTGAACTCCATTTTGGAGCCATTACTGATGTTAGTGTTGGCACTAAGTGTCTTCCCTGTCTCTCTGGCGTTCTCTCAGAGAGTTGGGGTTTGACTGCCGGTACGTCTGCTGAGCCTCCTCGAGTGCCTCTGCCCTCCCTGTCTCCCTTTCTTTCTTTCTTTCTCTCTCACTGTCTTTTTTTCTCTGTTTCCCCCTCTCCTATTCTCTTTTCCTGTTCTTGTCTGTAACTTTCTCGTCTCTCTCTCTCTCTGCTCTGAACTTTCACTGGTTAGAAAAGTAGAGAGCCCTGGCTGCACTTTGACAGGTCACTGTAGGCATAATAGACCCCTGACTTGTGATTGTTTGGGCTGTAGGGGCTGTGTACCAGGGCAAAATAATATAATCGAAGAATCGCCTATATAGAGATACTATCTCTACCCTGAGCGGCAGGCATCACCGCAGGGCTTAACAGCCAGACGGGCCCAGGGTATGAAATGTACAGATGAAGGTGTTTGTAGGATGAGGTGGGGCCTCATACATGCCTGATGGAAATGAATCAACTCAGGAAAAGATGACAGCAGAGATCCTCCATTCTTGGGAGTGCGAGTGAGAGCGAGAGTGAGAGTGAGAGAATGGGGCAGGAATTGATATTGACACACAGATGAACTCACACACACACCCGCATGTACATATGCACTGCAATTAGGCTCCATCTATCTTGTTCTATACACAAATCCTGTTGACTATAATGAACATGCCCATTACCCTTTGTGATATTAGTTTACCGTCTAATGTGGTGTAATTTTGTTGTCTTCAGATCGCCCAGAGCTAGTTAATTATAGCATTCACATTGTGTCTGCTGGAGACAGTTTCCAAAGGAAGACAGTGACAGCTCTTTCCTGACAGTTCCAGAGGACCACCCTCGTCCTGCTGCCTCTGTTCTAATCCTCCTCTCAAGGTGGGCCTGTTGCTTTTTAAATATGTGACTGAGTGTCTGTGGAGACATGTAGGAGCCATTGTAAAACATGAGTGCTGGGAGGCCAGGCCTGCCTCTGCTTCAGGGAGTCCAGTATCACTGTGTGCTTTATCTTCTCTGAAATAAAATCAACCCAAACCACAGAGGGGCTGTGTTCTCCCAGCTCCTGTCGACCTCCTCCTCCTCCTCCTCCTCCTCTCTCTGTCTTCCTCTCCTCCTCCCCCAACCTCCCAAACATGAACACAATGTTAATTCATCCTCTGAAATGGTCCCGAGCAGTGTTGCCATGCATCAATAAAAGAGAAAACATAAGAAGCTGTGATGTATCCTGATAAATAATTGTTGGTAAGGAGGGTGGTGTATGCGTCCCTAAAACAGGGCCTATTGTTCGGAGTTAACATGCAATCTCTGCCACTTCTGGACCACAGCCACACAAGGCAATAAAGAGAGTTGTAATCTTAATTTGCAGCAAATTATTCCAAGCCATTTTAGTGTCTTTAATACAATGTTTGTTTTCAAATGGGATTTGCTCTTTTTGCACAAATTGCTCTGCCTATCTAAACGAGCCTACTGTAACAAAATCCTTTATTGCTCTCTCTCTGATGTGAGAAAGAGTGAAAATAACAGTTCTTTTTCAAACATTCTGTGGTAAGTTGTATGTGGGAGAGGGTAGAATGCTACCCATGCTGCTCTCTTTACCACTGTGCCTTAAGATTAATGGACAGGCGTTTTACTGAGAGATGCTGATTAAGACATGTTTTAACTGAGATCTGATTAGCCAAGCAAAAGGCCTATTTTATTACACATCAAACATTCCACTAACTGCACATGCATTCCACTGAACATCTCTGTTATAGCCTACTACATATTGTGGAATCAGCAATAGCCTTTAAACAACTTTTATTAGTCCTACATTTGTCTGTAGGTCAAACACTTTCCTGTCCCAAAAATAGGGGGTATTACGATGAGGATGATGTGGTTGCTATGCAATTCTTTGCAGGCGATCACTGGATTGAGCCTATGTTTTGAGTCTACTCATTTTTATCATACAGTTTTTCCTCTTTATGTTATCCATGGAGATACGGCAGTATATATTTTCCATGTTTTTATTTGCTGCCTTTAGGGCGTCTTCGCGCATTTGGCATCAAACTTGTTGCTCCTCTGTAAATCCAGAGAAACAAGTTCAACATAAGTGATTTATTTGAAAATGATGCAATAATCCAATTTGTGATAACTAACAACAAAACCCACTTCAAGAAGATGCTTTATGTTGTTGTTGTTATTGTGGGGCCCATGAACTGCATGGCCAGGGTGGGGAGAACATTGTTTTGGCGCTGTCTCTTGTGATGGAGTGTCCAACTGCGCCCACCCAATAGTAAAAAACACTCCTCTTCATCATCCCCTCTTCGCATTACTTCTTTGTTTATTTCCCTCCCTCGTTTAATGGGTGTTGGGGATGTTCTCTCGTTGTCCTCTCTCGCTGTGTGATTGCTGTTGTGGCTTCTCTGTGGCTGCGTTAACAGCGCTCCCCAGGCAGCGGTCGAGCCACAGAACAGACACGTCTCAGAGCTCCCGGCTCCGGGGGGAGTCTGCTTGTCGGGGGCTGGAGAGGCTTTATTTCTCCTCTTTATCCCGTTGTTGTGGTGCGACTGATGAGGCACTCCAGGCTCAAACTAATCTATTCCAGTGCTCTGTTCCCTGAGACGTATACATTGCGTTTTATGGCTCTCTCTGTGTGTGTATGTGTGTGTGCGTGCATGCGTGTTTTATTTAAAAAGAGTGAAAGGGGGATACGCCAGTGAATTGAAAAGAAAATCCCTGCGTTCTGCTTAGAAACTACTATTTGGATTTCAGTGTCCAATTCGAAGACAGATTGGTACTGCTACTAATGTTACAGGCCTTGGCTAAGGACTCCATCGACACATGTGGCTCAATTCCTCTTTAACATGGGTTTAGTTAGCAAGCCTCTTGACCCTAGCAATGACATGATGAATGACTTTGCTCAGTGGATGAGTTGACATTCAGATCTTCCGTAATCATCATCATATTTACAAGAGAAGATGAATTAGCCTACTCTTGAAGAAGTTCGAATTTCAGGTTTTTTTCTGGATCAAAAAGGGGCTTAGGTGGTGGGCGTGGCAGGGGGCGTGGCAATGAGCGCGGTCGGCCCTTTGGTGTGGCCACATTTCAGAGAAAATGTTTGAGGTCCCCATCTTTGCAGTTTTAAGGCTAATTTCCTCCAATACATTTTGCCATTTACTATTGTCAGAAAACCATGAACCAGAGGTTAGGGAGGAGGCACTTGCAGAAAATCACTAAATGAACCATGAATGACTGAATATAGCTTTTTATATATATATAAAACTTAACTTACACTGTAATATCATTCCTTCACCAACCACTGTGTGAAGATATACACTGCTCAAAAAAATTAAGGGAACACTTAAACAACACAATGTAACTCCAAGTCAATCACACTTCTGTGAAATCAAACTGTCCACTTAGGAAGCAACACTGATTGACAATACATTTCACATGCTGTTGTGCAAATGGAATAGATAACAGGTGGAAATTATAGGCAATTAGCAAGACACCCCCAATAAAGGACTGGTTTTGCAGGTGGTGACCACAGACCACTTCTCAGTTCCTATGCTTCCTGGCTGATGTTTTGGTCACTTTTGAATGCTGGCGGTGCTTTCACTCTTGTGGTAGCATGAGATGGAGTCTACAACCCACACAAGTGGCTCAGGTAGTGCAGCTCATCCAGGATGGTACATCAATGCGAGCTGTGGCAAGAAGGTTTGCTGTGTCTGTCAGCATAGTGTCCAGAGCATGGAGGCGCTACCAGGAGACAGGCCAGTACATCAGGAGACGTGGAGGAGGCCGTAGGAGGGCAACAACCCAGCAGCAGGACTGCTACCTCCACCTTTGTGCAAGGAGGAGCAGGAGGAGCACTGCCAGAGCCCTGCAAAATGACCTCCAGCAGGCCACAAATGTGCATGTGTCTGCTCAAACGGTCAGAAACAGACTCCATGAGGGTGGTATGAGGGCCCGACGTCCACAGGTGGGGGTTGTGCTTACAGCCCAACACCGTGCAGGACGTTTGGCATTTGCCAGAGAACACCAAGATTGGCAAATTCGCCACTGGCGCCCTGTGCTCTTCACAGATGAAAGCAGGTTCACACTGAGCACGTGACAGACGTGACAGAGTCTGGAGACGCCGTGGAAAACGTTCTGCTGCCTACAACATCCTCCAGCATGACCGGTTTGGCGGTGGGTCAGTCATGGTGTGGGGTGGCATTTCTTTGGGGGGCCGCACAGCCCTCCATATGCTCGCCAGAGGTAGCCTGACTGCCATTAGGTACCAAGATGAGATCCTCAGACCCCTTGTGAGACCATATGCTGGTGCGGTTGGCCCTGGGTTCCTCCTAATGCAAGACAATGCTAGACCTCATGTGGCTGGAGTGTGTCAGCAGTTCCTGCAAGAGGAAGGCATTGATGCTATGGACTGGCCCGCCCGTTCCCCAGACCTGAATCCAATTGAGCACATCTGGGACATCATGTCTCGCTCCATCCACCAACGCCACGTTGCACCACAGACTGTCCAGGAGTTGGCGGATGCTTTAGTCCAGGTCTGGGAGGAGATCCCTCAGGAGACCATCCGCCACCTCATCAGGAGCATGCCCAGGCATTGTAGGGAGGTCATACAGGCACGTGGAGGCCACACACACTACTGAGCCTCATTTTGACTTGTTTTAAGGACATTACATCAAAGTTGGATCAGCCTGTAGTGTGGTTTTCCACTTTAATTTTGAGGGTGACTCCAAATCCAGACCTCCATGGGTTGATAAATTTGATTTCCATTGATAATTTTTGTGTGATTTTGTTGTCAGCACATTCAACTATGTAAAGAAAAAAGTATTTAATAAGATTATTTCATTCATTCAGATCTAGGATGTGTTATTTTAGTGTTCCTTTTATTTTTTTGAGCAGTGTAGCATGGGTTCTCTGTGTTAACACTGATGTTGACCTCTTACACTAGAATAAATAACTTATGTTACGACGGCTTTGAAAACACCAACCTCTGGCCTCTTCTCAAAACAGACAATTTTCTTTTTAAGTGCCATTAAGCTGATTTTTCTTTGGCTTTACGGACAGAGCTTTGCCCAATGCCCAGTCCCTCTAAAAGGCTGTTGTTTTTCCCCGGGAGCTGTATGCTAAGCTAAGGGACTCTCCCCAGGCAGAGCAGTGCAGTGTGAGACTGAGGGAGTGATGGTGAGGAGGGCTTCCACAGGGCTCCTAGCACCGCCGTGCCGTGGTGGCATGGCTGTTTTATAACCGCGAAGGAAGGAGAGAGAGTATGGATAAGTTTGTACACAGGGAACTCCCTGACCACTCAGTAAAAGGCCTTTATTGTGTCGCTGTCTGCCAAGCTGGCGATGGAGTGTCTGATTCGCCAGGTCCCTCGCACTTGGAAAATACTTCCATAATTTTCCAAACATAGCTCAGTTGGAGTTCAGGGTCTATCAACAATTTGCTCCATCGTAATCATCTGCTTCTCTTCAACTAGGCCTAGATCAGTGGTATTTAAATTCTTTCTGCGGGGACCCCATGTTTATCCCAATAATGTTCCCAAGACTTTCTTGCGACCCCACCCCTAACCTAACGTACCAGGCGTAGAAAGAGCCCTGAGCAGAGTTCCCACTTCCATTTTTCAGGGGAAACCGGATGTTAGCTGGCGACTCCGCATAGGCTACCCCACCCCAAATCTAATGACACAACCTTCAAATCTGTAAATTTAGATTTTTGCATCAACAAATGACCTTCAATTCATTGCATTTTCATCTCAAAATTAAAAGAAACCAATGAATACATTTACTCAAATATATTTCTCAAAAACATATGTATATCGTAGCATACCAAAAAGTTATTATTTGTGTAAAATTTTGGCACCCCACTTGCAGGTTGCGACCCCGACTTTGAATACCACTGGCCTAGATGGTGACAGTTTGGGACTGAGGTGTGGTTTACACTGAGGTGTCGGCTAATTTTGTGCTACAATATTGACTGAGCAACACTATCCCAATGTGGCAGAAGGATTTTATAGTATATAATGGCATGAAAATCAGACTTGATGTTCAGAGCTTTTAAATAAAGAATATAGGCATATTCAATGCACGAGTATAGAGTTCATAAATATGTTTCTCATCTAAGTGCTGATGTAAGCAGCTCAATGGAGCTGAGATGTGAATATACTTAGCTAATGTAATTCAGCCAGCCAATCCTCAGTAGCAACAGACGTTTGATGTAGAGTGATTGGATATTTAATATCCATATAATCAGTAGCAGAAAACCAGCCATGTTGTCAACTGCCAGTTTGTGGTAACCAAGATAAGACCCTTGACGTCTTCTGTTTTCTATTGTGACTTATTATTGTTTTATAAGAAACTGGATCTTTCATCACTAGGACCAGGAGTTTTTCTCCCCACAGGGCCCAAGTTTTAGGTTAGGGCCTAGCTTTTTTCCTGTTTAGCCTAGGTGACTTGGTCTGGGAAAAACCTCTGGTCCTATTCATCACAAATGGGGGCAGCGGAAGCCAGAATAGAGCCAGACTCTACTGACCTCCCATGTGTGTGTGTTTATCTACAGAACTGTACGGCTTTGATGTGCTCATCGACTCCAACCTCAAACCATTGCTCCTGGAGGTCAACCTCTCTCCTTCTCTGGCCTGGTGAGTGAGTGACTGCATATCATCATCTCATGGTTCACAGGAACAAACACATGCTTATGCGTAAATTGCTGGAGGGACTTTAGGGTGACTCAAAAAGGTATTCTTGTCCTTCTTTGAAACGAAACACACTTCTGTTCTTCCTCCCATCAACACATAAACATAATATGGTGAGCTCTAGGAATAGACATGTTAATATAACACATAAGGAAATGTCATGTTTGAAGATTTACACTTCGTTAGTTGATAAATACCGGAAAATAGATCTGAGCAGTTCTTTCCAGGTCTGCAAATTCTGTGAGTTGACTGTGATTGAGACGTTTGTGTCCTCAATAACTTTGGGATTGCACTTGTATGTGAGAAAGGGCATATTGTGTTATTTTACCGGATGGACTTTGATTACTTTCTAATGAACGTCAATGAAATATTTTTGTTAGTTTTATGTGATTTGAATCTTTATTTCCAGCGATGGATCTGAAGATAAAGGCCAGCATGATATCAGACATGTTTTCTCTTGTGGGTGAGTCTCTCTCTCTCTCTCTCTCTCTCTGTGTTAATGCACTGATTCTGGGGAGGGAGGGATGCCAAGGGTTTGGTCTGGCGGCTACACCTAAATGCCCTAAAATGTTTCTGGTTATTACATACCGACCTCTTTATTGTAAACCACACCTCTTTATGATGTGAGTACACCATTACCTCTATACTTTTTGTTTTAAAGCATAGTTTGTCAGAAAGGTGCAGGTTTTAGGAGCCCTTGACATGCAGGATATTTCTCCCATTATATCTACTCTTGCTACTGTAAGACTGACTTTGGCAATATGATGAATTGCAAGGGCCTTTTCTCAGGCTAACATCAGTCTGATGCACACAAACATTTTAACCATCTCAATCTCTTTTCATAGTAAGTCAGTAAAGAACTGGACAGATTCTCATCATTTATGACATGGGCAGTCTTCTAAATGAGCTGCCCTTGATCTGTTGCTTCACTCCAGTCCCATGTCTCCTCCATGGCCTCTCTCTACCTGTGAACTGGGCTGGGCCTAGCTGGGGAGTGCCAGCGTAGATGGAAACTTTGTTGGCCCTGACTTCTGCCAACCACAGGATTTAGCCTGCAGCAGGTTCCACTGCGCTTGTTTTTCAGCCCAGTGTCTCTTGTTTATTAGGGCTCTCTTCAGCAAATCCTCGCTGCGAAGGAAGAATGCCACTAATTGGCCATTCTGCTGCCTGACGCTGGGTTTCAGCTTGTGGAGACAGTCAGGCATTGTTTTACACTAACTTTTGCCTCACAGTTAGTTACCGTTTTATATTAGAGAATAGTTGGATTGCTCCGTAATGGGACCTCAGAATTGTGCAGAAACCACAGGCATTATTCATTAACATTCAATGACTGGCGGGTGAAATTGTCAACAGAGGACTTGTTTTGGAGTAATTAAGCTCTCTTGAGAAATGTGATCTCACATTATTAAGCCAAAGCAATCCTTAGCATGCAGACAAGAAATTGTTAGCCCTAGGAGCAGATCAACACTGTTTATACAACAGCCTTTCTTTATGCGGAGAATGTCTTTGTTATGTTGCCTTCCTTCACAATTAATGCATTCTCAGGTAGCCAGGTTGTTTGGAGCTGTGGAGAATATTTTAAAGAAATTCAAGTCCACACCTGAAACAAATATTGTTATTACACTTTTTTTCTAGTACTTCATCCTTACACTTTCAGACTCAGCCAATTCCTTCCAAAGCAAGTTGAGCATTGACAATGACACGTGTACTACACGTACAACTGATTTAATCTCCCCATACGTTCATATCAGTACTGGTAATGAGTTGAGATCTTCTGTCTTCATCTTGTTTGTACCTTCCTGTCATGATCCAGAGCGTCGTCTGAGCCCATTAACGATATCTAAAATGACACTGAGCCCCAGAGCCTGTAGGCCATATCTAATGACACTGTGAGGGGCTGTTGGGCTATGGTGTATCTGTCTGTACTGGGGCCAGCGTGCGGAATCATAAATTGCAGTTATCTTTGGACTGATGCATTAGCGCGAGCCTAGGGAAAATGAGCAGTGGCATGTAAAACATACTCCGTCTATTATTCACTACAAACCCCAGCGCTTTTGGCTGATAACGCTTGGGCTGCATCCCAGCTCTGTAAATAATGACAGCATGCCATTAGCATTCATTTTCCCCTCGTGTGTAGCTGTCAGTAATGCGTCAGCCGTGTTTGTAATAATTGCCGCATTTAGACAAGAACATGGCAAGAGCCCAATTCTTACCTGACGGCTTGGATGAGGCAGACAAATAACCTCAGGGCCTGAGCTGTCGATTGATTTGATCCTAAAGAAGTTTTCCCATCACTCTGTATGGGAAAGTATGACGTTAACTTTAAAGTAGTTTTTCTCTCTTCATCTGGGATCAGTTAGCGCTTAGTGAGTTTTTTAAAGAGAGAAAGAGAGAGTGTAAATGATTGTGAGTTTGAGAAGAACTGTGGAGAAAGGCCTACAGCACCGTATTCATGTCATGCATGATAGTATCAGATTGATCTTTATTCCAGGATTACATGTGCTTTACTGCTCTAGATAACACATGCTCTCTAGAATATTTGGCCACTGTCATTTACTCATTGTAGTGAGTCATGTCCCTACAGGTTTTGTTTGTCAGGACCCCCTGCTACAACAATCCCGCTCTGAACGGGTGACTCTGGACCCAGGCCTGAAGTACCAAGCCCACAAAGCACAGGTATGGGACACCACCTTCTTTATTGTTTCACTAAAAGGTGCTTTAGTTTATACATCTGAAGGAACCTCCTTTCCATGCCATATAACCTAACTTCATGAAACGTCTTTCTCAACATGGCCTGTCATCATGTCTCTTACTATATTTGTTTTGCTGTTATAGCTGAGCCCTTTTTGCCTTCATGGAAAAATCATTCTCATGAAAAACAACTGCTAATGCAATTACAGTGTTAGGGTGACATCATTAGCACTGCGAGTGCAGCGCTCTGTGGATTTATTATTTTATCATGTTTAATCAGGTGACTAACGCTCTCACTAGGTTCTATTGCTTAATGATGCCACAGCAGCTAATACACTTGGCTCACCGCAGTCAACTACTGCACCCGGTCTGGGCTAGGATCTGCTGCTGGGACATGATCAAGTCAGACATTTTTCTACTCCACCTTATATTGTGTAAAGTGCCCAGATAGCCTTACCGTAACAAGGCTGTACGGTTGTTCATGTGTCTACTGTATGCATGACTCTGTTTGTGTGCCAACAGTATGTGTGTCTTTCGATGTGCATGTCTAAGTGCTTCTTTCATGTGTGTATGTTAAGACAGGTGTAGTTAGCGGCTGATGTTCATCTCACTGTTTCTGACACGCCATTGCCTAACTTGGCGTCCTTTCTCTGCTCAGTCAGTCCGTGCGCACTCCAGAGTGGTAAGTTGTCCTGCCTTCTCATATTGTCTAACCCAACCACATTAACCCTGCTGCACCTTTTCCCTATGCCTCACCACTGTGACGTCTTTACATTAACGGTAAGAAAGACACTTCATTTTTCAACCACTTATCCTTCTTAGCCTATGTTTTTGAGTCTCTAAACGATTCTGATATTTTCCCTACTTGTGGCTGCCAAAAAGCACCCTCTATCGATTATGTATCATGGTCTTAAAGTGGTGCTTTTAATTGAATAGTCCATAGTAGATTGGTCTTGGCAAGACTATGATTTATAAGCAACGCAATGTAGCTCTGTGAATCAATCCCATGATGCCTCAGCCCCTCTGCCGGTGACAGACACAGCAAAACAATCTTGCCACTAAAGCAGTCCTGTCAGAGAGGCAGTGAATCCTGCGCTCCTATGAATAATCTGTCATCTTCCTCTATACTGTGATTAGGAGCAACAGTTTAAATTATTTCAGGGGATCAGGCCTTGTCAGTCTCTGGATGCCATCATAACTCCCCAACCAGTCTGACAAATTCAATGTAATCCCCCCACTATTTAAAAGACAAATTCTGTATGTGATCCTGTGGGGTTATGCCCTGCTGTCTGGCCCTGGCTCAAACCTGCGTGCCAAAGTCGTCAATCAGCCCTGGTAATGCATGCCGAGGAGGAGGCAGCCAGGAATGCCAGCTAGCGAAGATAGAAAATGTGCCATTTATGTAACCCAGGGAGGGAGGAAAGGGGATGATTTTTTACATTTTCAATATAGTTGATGCTTTTCTGTATGTAAAGATAAACAGACTTGCATTTTTAGATTTATTAGTTTTATCAGTGTGTGGGATGATTTCTTAGGTGCAAATGTAAGAATTAAACAGAGCCAGCCAACTTGCATTAACACCCTATTCATTACACCTATTAAACACCTAATTTATTAAACCAGAATCAGGGTGGATTTATGTGGGAATTAGGTAGATGGTATCAGTATAACGATGTGTCCACTCCCCTCTCCTCTCCTGCAGCTGCAGAGACCCCTGTCAGCCAACAACACTGACACAGACAGGCCTAAAGAGAAGCCAGATGGTAAACGGGGACAGCACCCTGGGCCTGACTGCTGAGGAGGTAAATATACATAGCTGAAGTTAATATGATAGATCTGCATTAGAGGGATACTATCTATCGCTCACATAGTATTGTAGCTAAGGGTTCTCTTTCCTCTCCATGGCAGCTGAAAGTCCTGAGGAGAATAAGAGAGGAGCATGAGACACGAGGGGGGCAAATCTTCCCCACCCCAGAGACATGGGAACTGTACAGGTGAGAGGGGTTCGGACACTGGGTAATGTTACACACTAATAATGGACAGTGCCGTGAAAAAGTATTTGCCCCATTTCTGATTTTCTCTGTTTAAATTTTTTTGTTTTATACTGAATGTTATCAGATCTTCAACCAAAACCTAAAATTAGATAAAGGGAACCTGCGTTTACAAATAACACAACATGGGTCTCATTATGCCTGGCAAAGTATACATTTAAAAAAGTCTCATATTAAGTTTTGGTTGAAGATCTGATAACATTCAGTATCAAAAATAGAGAAAATCAGAAAGGGGGCAAATATTTTTTCATGCCACTGTACATGTCTAGATACATTTTAGAATAAGAGAACAACAGCAATGTCTAATGTTTGACCATACTGCTGCCTACCTACATTTAACGACTGCTATTACTACGTAATACGACTATTACTACTTCATCTAGGAGTTAAGGTGAGAAGCTGATACCCATTAGAGAATCGGCCGGTTACTGTACATTACATCTCTGAGAGTATTTATAGGCTTTACAGCTCGCTCTCTTGTGAGTTCTGTATATTTTCCCCAAACATGGCTTAAATCCCATGATGACTTCTAGTTGAAACAGCATTAAACCCCCTATTTATAGGGAAATCCCGTTTTGTGCTTACAGTCCATATTCTTCTATGAGGGATTTGCTGCTTGATTAGCTTTATGGGCCTGTTAGTACTGGGGATTTTGTGGCTTTTTTTACACAATATGTTTCTGAGTGGTCTTGGAAATTACTGGGGCTTATGACATTGAGTATCACAGTAGCCCTGTTGTAACACATTCAACTCCCCACAAACTAGACAGAAAATGCAGAAGCCCAGTGCAGCCTGTGGTGGTGGAAATGGTTGTTATTTTGTCATTATCTGTGTCTCTGTTTCTCAGTGGTTATCTGGAGTATAAGACATCGATGAACTCCATGTTGTCTAACAGACTTTTCCATGGAAGGTAAGCATTTCCATTGTGGTTGGGAATGGGAGCAGTTTAAATTTGTGGAAAGGTTGGCCCCTGACTTTGTGTTTGTTTTGTCTTCAGATGAATAGGTGAGGAGAACAGCTAATAAGATATGTATGGTAATAGTAGACATTAAAGTTTTCCAGAGCGAGCACAGTGTCTATGTGGCAGTGTGGCTTTGGTAGTCTAGTCCTCAAATGGCGGTTGGGGCTGGGCTGGGGAGAGTTTATGAAGCAAGGAAGAGCAGGGAAAATGTTATAGAATAAACAGAGCTATTGGGAATTGTGTTGCACAACTCAACTTCTTTTATCCTGTTGCATGGGTTCAAATATCAGAGAAATCTTGTGTTTATGAGCTTTTGGTTTATGTACAGTATTTCATTTACTCAGTTTCACTATTGCACAATACTATCTGGGGAGCTGGCGTCTCCTTTGGCCCTTTATGATTTTTCCATGTTGCTTGCTTTGGTCCTCAGATTGGGGAAAGCGGTGGTGACCTCAAGATCACAGTGGGTGTTATTGCCGCCATTTCCCCCCCTCACTCTGTCTTCCATCTTTCAACTTTCCTTCTCTTACCACAATATCTTTGAAAATAATAATCTGATACATTTCTCTTCTCAGGGACTGATTCAGTCAAACCTGTCTTAGCAATGACGAGTGTCTACATTTATGTTACCGTGCCTAAAATCATTTTGCAATTGTTCGGATATTAGTGTGTAAAGAATGTAATGCAGGTTAAATTAAAGGGATCTATGGTTGGTTAAAGGGATACTTCAGGATTTTGGCAATGAAGCCCATTATCTAAATTCCCGGAGTCAGATGAACTCGCGGATACCATTTTTATGTCTCTGCGTGCAGTTTGAAGGAAGTTGCTAACTAGCGTTGGCGCAATTGCTAACTAGCGTTAGCGCAATGACTGGAAGCCTATGGTAACTAGTCTATGGTAACTGTTAGCATGCTAGTAGATACCATAGACTTCCAGTCATTGCGCTAACACTAATTAGCATTGGCTCGCGAAACTTCATACTGGCTGCAGAGATATAAAAATGGTATCCATGAGTTCATCTGACTCTGGGGAAGTAGATGAAGGGCTTCGTTGCCAAAATCCCGAAATATCCCTTTAAGGAGTCGTATTAGAGCGGTTTCTCTCGTCCTCCATCAGGAGCCTGAATGGTAATGTGCAGCTGCAGGTGGACGTGTTCCACGCATGTCTCGTGATCCAGTACGAGATGAAACTACTGTCACTGGAGGCGTAGAAGCAGAGGCAGCGCCACCTGGCAGAGCACTCCGCTATGGGGAGGAAGAGCACAGGTAGGCCTCAGGGAGTCTGTCCTCCTCCAGCTGACACAGCATAGCAACACACAGTCTAGTCTCAGACCACGGCCTGTCTGGCCAAGCCAAGGGGGAGGCAATCAGACATGTTCATTCCTTTACTTTCTATGACGAACTAACCACTGCCAGAATGAAAATGGCCAAATATGACAATGAGAGTTCATTCAACAACTACCATAATAAGTTATCTTTGCACAGTGTTGTAATTGACATTGTGACGTTTGACTTTTTTTCTGTAATGCTTTGTACTTAAGTGAGGGGTCGCAAGGCCTCCCCTACTAGGACCAGTGACGAGGAGGATGTTGAGGAGGAGGAGGAAAAGAAGGAGGAAAATGTCACGCCCTGGCTCTGGGACTCTGTTATGTTGAGCCAGGGTGTGTTGTTTCTATGTGTTTTGTTTCTAGGTTCTTTATCTAGTTATTTGTTTCTAGGTTGGCCGGTGTGGTTCTCAATCAGAGGCAACGTGAATCAGCTGTTGCTTGTTGTCTCTGATTGGGAACCATACTTAGGCAGCCTGTTTGGCCACAGTGTTTGTGGGATCTTGTTCCGTGTATGGTTAGTGTTTGTAACCAAGGACGTCACGTTATCGTTTTGTTGTTTTGTTCTCTAATAAATAAGTATGTTCACTCATCACGCTGCGCATTGGTCCACTTCCTCCAGCGATCGTGACAGAAGATCCCACCATAACTGGACCAAGCAGCGTGTCCAGGAGCCAACGCCAGAGAGGACTCTAATGAATATCAACCTCGACTGGGTCAAGCAGCGTGAGGAGGAGAGAGTCTGGACTTGGGAGCAGAGGAGCGAGAGTCTGGCGAGAGCCATGGAGGCCTGGCCCACGGGGAGGAGAGACGCCCAGAAATTTTTTAGGGGGGAGCACACGCCGTGGACGACGGGGCAGCAGGAGGCCGGGATAGAGTGGTTCAGCGGGTTGGCAAAGGAGGCCGCCAGGTTACGGGAGTCACTGGTCACCAGGGGGAAGGAGAATGTAGAGGCACGGCGAGAGGTACTGGGGTGTGTTGCCAGTCCGGTCCGGCCCGTTCCAGATCCCCGCGTAGGGCCAGTGGTGTGTGTCTCCAGTACGGTCCTGCTTGTTCCTGTCCCTCGCACCGAGCCTGTGGTGCGCGTCGCCAGCCCGGTCCGGCATGTTCCTGCCCCTCGCACCAAGCCTGTGGTGCGCGTCGCCAGCCCGGTCCGGCCCGTTCCTGCTCCCCGCACCAAGCCTGTGGTGCGCTTCGTCAGCCCGGTCCGGCCCGTTCCTGCTCCCCGCACCAAGCCTGTGGTGCGCTTCGTCAGCCCGGTTCGGCCCGTCCCTGCTCCCCGCACCAAGCCTGTGGTGCGCTTCGTCAGCCCGGTTCGGCCCGTCCCTGCTCCCTGCACCAAGCCTGTGGTGCGCGTCGTCAGCCCGGTCCGGACCGTTGCTGCTCCCCGCACCAAGCCTGTGGTGCGCGTCGTCAGTCCGGCACAGCCCGTGCCTGGGTCACCGGTGCCTGGTCAGGTACCGGTCAGCTGCTCCACATCGGAGCCTAAGCAATCTGCTCCACCGATGTCCAGTCCAGCTCCAGCCAGCGGGGCCAGACCGGACCAGGGGAGCTACGGAGGGTGGTGGTCAAGCCCGGAGCCTGAACCGCCTCCGAGGAGGAATGCACACCCGGCCCTTCCCTGTTCGGTTTATGTTTGGCGCGGTCGCAGTCCGCGCCTTTGGGGGGGGGTACTGTCACACCCTGGCTCTGGGACACTGTTATGTTGAGCCAGGGTGTGTTGTTTCTATGTGTTTTGTTTCTAGGTTCTTTATCTAGTTATTTGTTTCTAGGTTGGCCGGTGTGGTTCTCAATCAGAGGCAACGTGAATCAGCTGTTGCTTGTTGTCTCTGATTGGGAACCATACTTAGGCAGCCTGTTTGGCCACAGTGTTTGTGGGATCTTGTTCCGTGTATGGTTAGTGTTTGTAACCAAGGACGTCACGTTATCGTTTTGTTGTTTTGTTCTCTAATAAATAAGTATGTTCACTCATCACGCTGCGCATTGGTCCACTTCCTCCAGCGATCGTGACAGAAAAGGAGGAGGAAAAGAATGCCCTGGGTCCGTTCGTGGTGTAGATAGACAGTGTGCCCACCCCACTGAAGCGGCTCCACAATGAGACCCTGTCCTTACCAGAACCGGCTCGACGCACCGCCGCTGTCGCCAAGCTCAAAGTCAACCTGCTCCACATCCTCCAGCAGGGCTGGGACCTCAGGTCAGTGCACACCCCAGGCTTCTGCTCCTGTTGGCAGCCCTCTCCTCATTCTCCTCCATCCCACCAACCCTCTCTCTGTTTCTCTCAGCAGGAGAAATATGACGCTTCCCAGAGCACAATCTGGGCCTCTTTTCATACCCCTGCATGTTTTGATCAGTCTCTTTGAGCGTGACTCCTTCATGTCTACCTAACTTACAACGTGGAGAGAACACTGAGGAAGCAGATGGGTTCTGAGCCAGCGAATCCTGTGTGTCAACATTGAATTCCATGTAGAGACACTGCCTGTGATTGGACTGTTAAATGTAGGAGTCAGATTGTCTTTTCTTTGTTTTAATTTTGAATGACCTGGATGGACTTGAAAGGCTCCCCACCATCCATCATTATGCAATACGATTGCAAAAATATTTAGATCTTTTTTGCTTTTACAATGAAATGTATGAATATTACATACTTCTGTTTAAACGGCAACAAAGGCTCCAGTCTCCTATTGATTTTTAAAGTGTGTCTGAAATTGTAATTTGAGGGGGAATTACAATAACAAGTCTACGTTTGTAGAAATTCCTCTGAGCTTGCCAGGACTGTGAAGGGACCTTGGCAATTATAGTACAGTATATCATTGTTTGTGTCTGACAGCTTTTTCCAAAACATTTTCCCACTACGTTGTACTGGCAGTACCCTTTTCAGGTTCACTCGGGCCATGAAAACAATGCATCACTCTTGGTACTGGCCGAGGGCAAGTCACACTGTGCTCCAACACTGGCTGAAATTGATATTTACCTGTATTAGTTTTGTCTCTTGCATGATGCCTAAGATAACAATCTGAATATGCGTCAGTGCTTGTGCTTACTGTTGTAACACATGTATCTGAGATGCCTAAAAGGCAGAAAACCTTTGCTCCCATATAAAAAGCTGAAGACCCGTGTGTCAGGGAATGACACAGATTGGAGATGTGATCTGTGTATGTGTGTGCGCGTGCATTTGCATGCCTGCGTGTGCAATTCCTCTAACTACTGTCGATCTCTCCATCCCATTTGTATTTTTTAACCATGCTTACCTTTGCAATCTGTGTTTTTTTTCCTCCTCCTGACTGCCATAGTTTTCTCTCTTCCTCCTTAGTTTCCTCTCCTCAGTCTCTCATGTCCTCCTTAATCCTGTCTCACTCTCTCCCGCCCTCTGTTCTGCAGTAAAGTCCAGGCTCGGATGACCTTCTCCTCCTATCTCCACCGGGTGCAGATGAGGCTACTTGCAGAGAGCAGGACTAACGCTAACTCAGCCTGGCCAGAGAAGGACAATGACCAAACGGTAAGACAACTGTCTGCGGTATTTCCCAGTTCCCCGGGGAATGATTTTATGGAAAAGAAAACTTGGACCATTGTTTTATGTTTATCTGCATTTGATTTTCCGTTTGATCTGTTGTTAGTCATTGGAGCCATGTCGTAACTGTGTAAATGTTCATGAGGTGTTTGTGGCCACGTAGAGAGGAAAATGGTGTGAGTACGACTACGTGGCTGCGTCAAAGTTGGATTTATCGGAATGTCTCATCGGTGCATCGGAATGATAAACATCATAATCTCCCAAGCCTCTGGAGAAAATAAACGTGAACATGTGTCCATCATGATGAGTCCATAAATTTTTTTCTTAAGAGTTTTTTTGGGACAAATGAAATACCACAACGTAAAGGTGAGTGTTGTAATGATGACGTAGTGCAGTGACAGCAGGTCTTCTCATCTCCAGGAGCTGGTGATCCGCTTCCTGAAGAGGGCAGCCAGTAACCTTCAGCAGCCAGTCGCCAGCTCCCCCTCCAGGACTGCTGATGCATCCTGTCCCACCAGCTAGCAGAGTTCATCCCCTGCTACAACAAGGTGCCTCACTAACAGCCACCAGCCACACCCTTCAGCCTCTAGTCTCCACTGCTGTTCTAGGACAGGTTTTTAGTAATTATACTAGTCAGGGAGTCTCCATTTATTTGTAATATTACTTGACTTTTTCCTTTGTGTACTTATCTAATTATAATTGTTTGTTTCAGTTGAAGTTGTTAATTTTTTGAGGAAGCAACAAATTACTGTTACAACTGACTGTCACGCCCTGGCTCTGGGGACTCTGAAATGTTGAGCCAGGGTGTGTAGTTTCTGTGTTATATTTTCTATGTTGATGTTCTAGATCGTTTAGATCTATGTTGGCCAGGGTGGTTCCCAATCAGAGGCAGCTGTATCTCGTTGTCTCTGATTGGGGACCATACTTAGGCAGCCTGTTTGGCACTAGTCGGTGTGGGATCTTGTTCCGTTAAGGTTTGTTTTGTGTAACCTAGGACTTCACGTTTCGTTTGTTTGTTGTTTTGTCATGAGTTAAGTACTTAATAAAATGTACGCTTATCACGCTGCGCCTTGGTCCGTATCTTCCATAAACTATCTTGACAGAAGATCCCACCAACAGAGGACCAAGCAGCGTGCCCAGGAGGAGAAGATGGCGATGTCTCAGGTGGGCAAATGGTGGTCATGGGAGGAGATATTCGCGGGGAAAGGGCCATGGGCAAAGGTAAATGCCCAGGCAGGAGAGGAGAAACGGCGCCAACCGTGCCGACGACGGACACGCGAGAGGCAACCCCAATAATTTTTTTGGGGGGGGGCACACGGCGTGGACGACGGGGCAGCAGGAGGCAGCTACAGGGTGAATCTGCAGACTAGGAGAGGAGGCCACCAGGTTACGGGGGCTATTGGTCCAGAGGGAGCAGGAGTTAATTGGTCGGAGGGAGGAGCTACAAGAGGCGTAGAGGGAGAGTGTAGAGGCACGGCGAGAGGAACTGGTTAGGCAGCAGAAGGAGCGGAGGTTAATAAGGAAACCCAGTCCCGCTCCTCGCACCAAGCAAGTGGTGTGTGTCACCAGTCCGGTCCGGCCCGTTCCTGCTCCCCGCACCAAGCCAGTGGTGCGCGTTGCCAGCCCGGTCCGTTCCTGCTCCCCGCACCAAGCCAGTGGTGCGTGTGTCCAGTCCGGCACGGCCCGTGCCTGTTCCACCGGTGCCTGGTCCGGCACCGGTCAGCTGCTCCACTCCGGAGCCAGAGCAATCCGCTTCACCGGGTTCCGGTCCAACTCCAGTCAGCGGATCCACTCCGGAGCCAGAGCAATCCGCTCCACCGGTGTCCAGTCCAGCTCCGGCCAGCGGCTCCATTCCGGAGCCTGTACGGTTTGATCCACCGTCGTCGCGTCCAGCTCCAGTCAGCGGTGCCAGACCAGATCAGGGGCGCAACGGGGAGGTGGAGAGAAAGTGGTGGTCACGCCCGGAGCCGGATCCACCTCCGAGGCGGAATGCCCACCCGGCCCCTACCCTGTTGTGTTTGTGTGGCACGGTCGCAGTCCGCGCCTTTTTAGGGGGGGTACTGTCACGCCCTGGCTCTGGGGACTCTGAAATGTTGAGCCAGGGTGTGTAGTTTCTGTGTTATATTTTCTATGTTGATGTTCTAGATCGTTTAGATCTATGTTGGCCAGGGTGGTTCCCAATCAGAAGCAGCTGTATCTCGTTGTCTCTGATTGGGGACCATACTTAGGCAGCCTGTTTGGCACTAGTCGGTGTGGGATCTTGTTCCGTTAAGGTTTGTTTTGTGTAACCTAGGACTTCACGTTTCGTTTGTTTGTTGTTTTGTCGTGAGTTAAGTACATAATAAAATGTACGCTTATCACGCTGCGCCTTGGTCCGTATCTTCCGTTAACGATCGTGACACTGACTTTCTCTTGTAGCATTCAGGAAGGCCAGTGTGCTTGGTCTCTGATGGGTTTCTGTCCTCACAGGAGACAGAGCATATGGTCAATAAACTGGAGAAGACCAAAGATGAAGAACATTGTATCAACCCCAGTGTGTTTCAGGAGTTTATCACTGAGGCAAGGTTAGTGACCTGGCTCCTACTCTCTCTACTACTGAATGGTACATATGCTCCTGACTGTTTCAATTACTTCTGCTACTTAACAGTGGTCTTACTCTAGGTATCATGGAGAATGTTCACACTGCTCTCTTCTCTTCCAGTGAAAGTGATCTGGAGGAGGTCCTGACATTCTACACACACAAAAACAAATCAGCTAGCGTCTTCTTGAGAACCAAATGTAGGAGCACTAAACCTGACAATAGCAACAGCTATGGTTCGGGAGAGCCAGCTACCACAGAGAATCATAAAAGTGAGTAGAAATGTAATTATTTTTTGACACCATCTGTACAGTTGGGACCTTTGTATTCCAGTGCCCCACAAAGTTGACATATTTCTACAATTATTTTGACATTTCATTTAATTATTTGTTGAGAAATCGTTTATAATGTATTTGGACATTTTGATTTTGAAAAACCACATTGTGGAAAAAAAGACATACAAAGTCAAGTACAGGTCAGCTTCTAATAATTAACCCTCATTGGTTGAAAATAAATGTGTGTCGGAGCCATGGAATGGCTGGCTGGATGATAACAGGGATCTGGCTTATTTTGTGCTCTGAACAGCTCTGCCTGTGGCCGAAGACTGCTCCAGCGCCTCAGCCTCTGAGTCCTCACTGTCTGAAGTCAGAATCAGCACAGACCAGCCCACTGCAAATCAACCCACTGTAGAGCAACCGTCTGTAGCCCTTAGAAGTAGTAAACAACCTGAGGTCCAGGCCTCCCAGCACTCCTCCAGCTTCCCAGCTGTCTTAGACTGTGGCCACATCCACCTGCAGCACTACCCTCACCCCCAGAACCTACCTCAGTCTCTGCCCCTGCACTGCCCCCATCTCAGCCCTCGTCCTACGTCCAGTCTCGTCTCCACTCCCCTCGCCAGCCCGAGGCCCCTCCACAGCCCCAGGCCTTTGTGTTCTCCTCAGTCTCCACCCTGGTCCCCCAGCCCCCTCGGGTCATATGGGCAGCTGCCCGCCCTGGTCCCACCACAGTCTCAGCCCCACCGGTCTCCCAGGTCCTGAGGCAGGTCCAGTCCTTTACCTCCACCTCTTCCTCCTCCACGGCTGCAGCCTTGTCCTCCATGCCCGAGGACATCCACGTCTACAGTCAGAAGCTCTCCAGGCCCACTTCTGCAGGTCAGGGTAAAGAGAACACCCTTGATAGATGTCTGGTGTGTTCTCAGCTCCCAGTCTTTCTATGCCCTAAGACATTAATTAATAACATGTTTCGCTCTCTGCTTCAGCAATCAGAAGGACTGCCTCCTGCTGGCCCAGACCAGATCCAACTGGGGTCTTTAAGGATCTGGACTCCCTGTCTGCTCAGACCCAGTCCAACCAGCAAGCCATTGTCTTAGTCCTGCAGAAACTGGCTGAAAAGCAGGCTGCCCACCAGTACACCAGCTCCAGCTACATCAGTCTCCTAACACAATATGTGAGTCTCCTGTCACCCTACCCAACCCCTCTTACTTGCTCAACAACTAGATAGTGTTCATATCAGGATACAAAACTACTACAAATCTATCATACACTGTAAAGTGATTTGTGTTATTCTCTAGATGAGTAAAGGGAATCCACACATCCTGCACAGTGGTCTTACTGCAAGGGTTTTAATATTCCACCGGGTTGTTGGTGTGTAAACCTCTCTGTGACCCCATTGTGAGTGACAGCTCAGAGCTCAGTATTGCTTACTCATCCAGCAGGCAGAGCAGAGTGGTGGGGTGGTGAGCTGATCTGAGGCTCCGTGTGAGGTCTCATTATCAGATGCACCAAAGGGGTCACTGTTGATATTTAACAGGTAGTCACTTTTTCTGTGGTTATTGATGCTTATAAATAAAATAATGTGGAAATTAGAACTGAGTGGGGGAGCGATGGATCTGTTTGCTCCACCACCACTTTTTTTCAACTTTTCCCTGAAGGTTTTTTGTTCACAGTGGGTAAGCCCACCAGCCTCCCTCCCTCCCTCTCTCTCCCTCCCTGGGAGTTTCTTGTGATGGCACCAGACCACACAGAATGCAGTTGTATATCTTCCTCTTCTCTGTACAGTATTCTATTTCTCTGAAAGGTGTTCCCTGTAATTCCCATGGAAAGTTAATCCTGGTCATGACAGAGGGTTATTTTGCAGAGCAAAATAGTTTAATGGTTTGCACTTAAAGGGTCTGAATATACTTGGCCTTTCCCTTGACTCAGATTAGAAGTCATTAAATCACTTATTTAACTCAATAGAGTGTTTTGTATGGAGAAGCAACACCCTGTTGCACGGTTGACCTCTGAAGATTCAGCAATTACTCTTTTTCACATGCCAGGCCTCATCTTTTGGGAATAACCGTAACTACCTCTTACAATGTAATTGTTTCCAATGGGGTGAATTTAAGTATTGTTATCATGTGTAATCTAATCTAATCTAATCTTTGGCCGTAAAATATGTGCTTGATTGTGAGTCCTCCCTCTAACTAACTTGCGTCTTGAGGGCGTGCAACATGATTACACTTTAATAACGTTTTTTTAGACAGGCCCATGTACACCCCAACATGATTCAACATGATATAGTATTTAAGTAATTACATTTTGGTTTGGAGAAGGGTGTTCTTTGACCCATTGTGTTGAAACGTGATAGCATTAATGTCACTATGTCTCTTATGTTTCGGGTATATCAAACAGGGCATTATTTGCACCCAAAACTGTGAATTGTAAATTAAAGTCATTTCCTCCCTCCCTCAGTCCCACCCAGGAGAGCAGAAGCAGACACACATCAAGTGTAATGCTAGCAATGTACATATTAAGGTAGCCTGGAGTTGTCCACTAAGATGAGAAACACCTTAGTCCTGATGAACAACATGGGTGTGCCTTTTGAGCAGTTATTCACGGTTGATTAGGTAATGTTGGAATTTCAGATTTCATGGATTCAAATTTATATTAAAATGTGTTATGGATTTACTGAAAATAAATGCCTAATTGGCATACCATTTGAGATCTGTTGACAGTGTATTGTGGATTACCTGCAAATCCTTTAGGATTGAAAATAAACTATATCGGGCCCTGAAAAGCAGCCCGACCTGGCTGTGTTCTGTCAGCTCCTGCATTAATTTAAACACCTGTCATTTAGGAATGTTTGAGTTTTCCCTTTCCCTGGAATGAAGACTAGCCAAACAATTAGTTCACCTACCCAGAACTCGGATTAAAAACCAGAGAAAATAAACAACCCTGTCATTTCTAAAAAGAAGGTGGACAAAAGTACTTTTTTTCCACTTTGCAGAATCACAATCACGCATGAGAAAATCTATTTTTTCCTCCAAATAAAATGTCAACTATCACCATTAACTGAACTCATCAGGAAACAGATTAATAATTTGTCATTTGTTCTCCAGTCTCTTTTTCCCCTAGTCCAGTGCTTTTCATGAGCCCCTCTGTGTGGTTCTGCACAGTAGGCTGGAGGGCAGGAAACAGAGGAGGGCAATAGAAATCTGTGTAAGTATTCATTTCCACCAAATTCCAGGCCTGTCTGATAATGGCTCCCAGGGCAGTATAGATAGTACCGTATGTTGGGAGAGTGCAGCAGATGATGCTGTAGCATGCTGTAATGTAATGGGGAGGGATACTGTAGCACCTAACTGCTAATTGTGCTGTTATTGTTGTAAACAGATTTGACTGGTGAGTAATGACCAGTGTCCCTCTCAGGAGGGTGGGGGGCAAAGGGGAGGGGGGACCACCTGGATGCAGAGCGTATTGGAGACCGGAGACTAGCTCCCTGATGCACTATGTACATTTCACACAGCTGGGGTGGGAGAAATGAGACTGGTGCTGTTGCTGCTGCTGCATCACAGAGGGAAGTCGCCAGTGGGTATGAGTCAAGTAAGAACAAATAGAGAGTCCTGGTGTCTGCAGTACCATAGTGGGAAGACAAGTAACTTAAACTGATTATATTACCTGTATCTGCTTGCGTACTGAATAAGACCATGTATTGACAGTTCAGGTTTAACCATTTTTCTCTGGAGAGATTCCTGGCAGACATGTTTTACCACAAATGTTCAGAATGTAGGCGTTATTGTGCCAATGATGAATACAGTTTCTGATGCATTGTCACTGTGTGTTCTCTTGTCCCTGCAGTTGACCAATCTGAACCTGACTAACAGGGTGCTGAGAAGAGGGGCCATCACCCTGACCCCCGCGGTGTGACATGGAGCTGTGGCCCAGTGGCCTGTCAGGGTTGTCCATTCGGACACAGACCCCATCAGCAGCACTACTGGGTAAGTCAAACACATCAAACCTATTTAACAGACACCTTCCTAAAGAATCACAAGATGCTCACGTGCAACACGCAATGCAGTTATACTGACCCACGTGCAGGAAATTCCCTTAGACCATCACTTATGTCCATAGATGTGGTAAAGAGGGCAACCGAACTCGACCAAAACGACGGAATTGCCATGGATTTTCCCCCAGCAAAATTAGCCTACATTTAGGTAATTGTTTATATGTGTACACTACCAGTCAAAGGTTTGGACACACCTACTCATTCAAGGGTTTTTCTTTATGTTTGACTATTCTTTACATTGTAGAATAATAGTGAAGAGATCAAAACTATGAAATAACACATATGGAATCATGTAGTAACCAAAAAAGTGTTAAACAAATCAAAATATATTTTACATTTGAGATTCTTCAAATAGCCACCCTTTGCCTTGATGACAGCTTTGCACACTCTTGGCATTTTACCAAATAGGGCTATCTTCTCTATACCTTGTCACAACACAACTGATTGGCTCAAACACATTAAGAAGGAAAGAAATTCCACAAATTAACTTTTAAGAAGGCACACCTGATAATTGAAATGCATTCCAGATGACTAGGTCATGAAGCTGGTTGAGAGATTGCCAAGAGTGTGCAAAGCTGTCATCAAGGCAAAGGGTGGCTATTTGAAGAATCTCAAATATAAAATATATTTTGATTTGTTTAACACTTTTTTGGTTCCTACATTTGTTTTGATGTCTTCACTATTATTATACAATGTAGAAAATAGTAAAAATAAAGAAAAACCCTTGAATTAATAGGTGTGTCCAAACTTTTGACTGGTATTGTATTTCACAGAATGTTGAGGTAAAAATCGGAGTATAATGCTTGTATGGATGTCAACCCCAACACATGTTCATGTCATCCTTACCAATCAACTGCATTACAGTTAAAAACGACTGACTACCATCAATGATTTCTGTATGCTAGCTTTGCTAACCAGCTCATAAAACGGGAGTTAACATTTAGCAGTCACTTCTTCTAAACCTGAAAATGGACACGTCCTACATGTTATGCAGCGAAAACAGCTAAATATATCCAAATCGGACTTAAGTAACCTCATGTATTAGGCCTGTTACAATACATAAATCATGACGGATGTGACGAATATGCACTTTGTTAGATCAGATTTGTTGAACGTCTGCGTTCCATTACTGCATCTATAGTCCGAGTCGATATTCACATAATAATAAGGAATTCCCCTCGACCACGCCCACAAATTGGGGAAACAAACATGCTTTCCCATTGACCCCCATTGTAAAAGAGCCAACTTCGTCATAGATTTGTTGTAATACCAAAATAACAAAACATGCCGAAAAGCTGCAGTGTTGTTCAATGTACATGTAACCAGGTCAAAATTCCCGACCTACAGTTCGCAATGCTCTCACGTAGGGAAATAGAGCTTGCGAGAAGAGCCCTGTGGCTTCAGGCTATTCTGAGTGGGAAATGTGGGAAACTGGTGTACAAGTAGGCTACACGTAGGTATGTGTGTTAAAAAATGTCATCACAGGTAAGACATTTCACTTGTTAAGTATAGTCAATTTGTTACGCCACTCACTACCTGTAGCTGTATAGTCTGTTTGTTTGTGTTGTTGGTCTTGGCTAGCTTAATGTTCCGGTTGGTAGCTACTGTAACTAGCACTCACTCACTCATGTGGCTGCTAGCACTGTCATGAAAAGGGGCATGAGGGAAGCCCTACAATATTACGTGTGTCTAAGTAGTGAGAACGCTAGGGAGAAGGCAATGTTGAAAAGTCATCTTTATACATTCTTACATGTAGTTTTGTAATTGACTAAAACAAGCAGACAAAAATAAAATTGTGTTTGAAAAAGGCCAAGTATTTGCTGCGAGCCAATGGGGTAACCTAGGTAACCACAGGTTGTTTTCCGCACAGGCGGGCGGGCCCGTGACATTCTATCTAATACCGACTGGGTGTATTGGTTCAGTGCACTACCATACTCTGTTCATATACTGATAACGACTGTTTAAGCCACTGATTGGTTGTACAATGAGAAATTATCCAGGATTAAAGTACAGTCTTGAATAAAGAAAGGCACACAATATAATCTAGCTCAACCGAGCAATAATATCCTCTACAATAAACAATCACACACAAAGACAAGGGGGGCAGAGGGAACACTTATACAGGTACTGATGAGGGGATATGAACCAGGTGTGTGTAATAAACAAGACAAAACAAATGGAATGATGAGATGAGGAGCGGCAGTGGCTAGAAGGCCGGTGACGACGAACGCCGAAGCCTGCCTGAACAAGGAGAGGAGGCAGCTTCGGAGGAAGTTGTGACAGCAACAGAGTGAATGGAATGGTATCAAACACATCAAAATCATGTGTTTGATGTATTTGATACCATTCCACTCTGCTCCTGCCATTACCATGAGCCCGTACTCCTGTCTGAAAAATCTAAAAACCTCTTTTCGCTTTGTCGTTATGGGGTATTATGGGGTTGTTATGGGGTATTATGGGGTCATTATGGGGTATTATGTGTAGAATGATGAGGATAATAAAAAAAAATCCATTTTAGAATAAGGCTGTAATGTAACAAAATGTGGAAAAGGTCAAGGGGTCTGAATACAGTGCGTTCAGAAAGTATTCATACCCCTTGACTTATTTCACATTTTGTTGTGTTACAGCCTGAATTCAAAATTGATTAAATAGATGTTTTGTCTCACCCATTTACACACAATATCCCATAATGACAAAGTGAAAACATATTTGTATAATTTTTTGCTAATTTCTTGAAAATGAAATACAGAAATATCTAATTTATGTAAGTATTCACACCCCTTTGCTTTGACACTCCAAATTGAGCTTAGGTGCATCCAATTTCCTTTGATCATCCTTGAGATGTCACTACAACTTGATTGGAGCCAATTCAATTGTTTGGACATTATTTGGAAAGAAACACACCTGGTCCCATAGTTGACTGTACATGTCAGAGCAGAAACTATACCATGAAGTCCAAGGAACTGTCCGTAGATTACCGAGATAGAATTCTGATGAGGCATATATCTGGGGAAGGGTATAAAACAGTCTAGAGTGTTCAAAGTTTCCAAGAGCACAATGGTCTCCATCATTGGGAAATTGAAAAAATATGGAACTACTCAGACTCTGCCTTGAGCTGGCCGTCCGACCAAACTGAGCAACCGGTCAAGAAGGACCTTGGTCAGGGAGGTGACCACTCTGACAGAACTACAGAGTTCCTTGGCTAAGATGAATGAACCACCAATCTGGGCTTTATGGAAGAGTGGCCAGAAAAAGGCACATGACAGCACGTCTGGAGTTTGCAAAAAGGCACGTGAAAGACTCTGAGAGCATAAAGCAAAAGATTCTGTGGTCTGATGAGACAAACATTTTACTCTTTGGCCTGAATGCAAAGCGCGATGTCTAGAGAAAACCAGGCACAGCTCATCACCCGTTTAACACCATCCCTACCGGAAAGCATGGTGGTGGCAGCATCAGAATGTGAAGGTCTTTGAGTGTTAGGATAATAGCCATTGTTTATAGGGAAAATACGAGTAGGAGATTACACTATATATACAAAAGTATATAGACACCCCTTCAAATGAGTGGATTCAGCTATTTCAGCCACACCGTTGCTGACATGGGTATAAATTCGAGCACACAGCCATGCAATCTCCATAGACAAACATTGGCAGTAGAATGGCATTACTTACAACGTCGCACCGTCATAGGATTCCGCCTTTCCAACTAGTCAGTTCATCAAATTTCTGCCCTGCTAGAGCTGCCCCGGTCAACTGTAAGTGCTGTTATTGTGAAGTGGAAACGTCTAGGAGCAACAACGGCTCAGCTGCTAAGTGGTAGGCCACACAAGCTCACAGAACGGGACCGCCGACTGCTGAAGCGCCTAGCGCATAAACATCGTCTGTCCTCGGTTGCAACACTCACTACCAAGTTCCAAACTGCCTCTGGAAGCAACATCCGCACAAGAACTGTTCGTCGGGAGCTTCATGAAATGGGTTTCCATGGCCGAGCAACCGCACACAAGCCTAAGATCACCGTGCGCAATGCCAAGCGTCGGCTGGAGTGGTGTAAAGCTCGCCGCCATTGGACTCTGGAGCAGTGGAAACGAGTTCTCTGGAGTGATGAATCACGCTTCACCATCTGGCATTCCGACGGACGAATCGCTACCAATAGAATGCACTGTATTAGTCTAAAGGAAGTGCCACATTTATTTTTTACCCCCATGTGCCATCTGTTTTTACAGAAGTGGCTTGGATCACATCAGTCATTTTGGTGAGGACTCTCCAAAGTTCTAGGCTATCCCTAATGCGGATGCCTTTCTCTTGGTCTCCCTGATAGTGCTTGCCAGTGAGAGGTTCACAAGAGCTGTGCTCAACCACTTGAGAGGTTTTTAGTGTGACTATTCTGAGAGCCTCATTCAAGTAGGGGCAAATTAACATTTTGAGGATTTTCTGTATAATCGACTTTGGACAATTTTATAGGCGCTTTAGTTTGTGGTAGCCTATTTGGTCACGGTCAATAAAACCTCAAGGCAGGTTTAATGGTCTCTGAAGAACCTTTAAATTGAAGACTGATAGTCTTTCTTTGGAAAGTATTTTCAACTTCCAACACTTCTGGGCTTAGTGGGGTGTTTCAATTTAGGCCTGTGCATGAAAATAAGACGTTTTAATTTTGCTTTGTGAGGCTAGCAGAGGAGTTGACACATAGCTACCTGGTGTGTGTGACTCATCCTGGCAGCCTAACACATTGCATTGAATAAGAGGGGGTCAGAGTCAACAATAAGTCGGCCACAGAGCCAATCTGCTCCAACCCTCTCCTCCACAACCATGCTCTCCCCTCACATTGGGACAGTGGAGACTGCAGAGAGGGAGATCGAGAAGAG